CGGGCCCCGCTGGCGCGTCTGCCGGCCCCGTGGAGCAGTTGGCCCTCCCGCTCGCTCGAGATGGCGGGGCCAGCACAACCTGAGCGGCCACTGCCGACAGCGAGAGCAGAACGTGAGACGGAGCCGCAGGCCAACAGCCCCGCGTCCCCTGTGGGCCCCGGGAAACGCTGCGTCGGCCATGCACCTTTGCTCTGCTTGAGGAAAAATAGAGGGAACATTGTTAGGTTAAAAAGCTTAACAGAGATTTCGATCTGTTTGTGCAAAAAAAATCACCTTTAACTAATTGCATAGATTCTGACAACACACCAGACAGCTCCATTTAATGAAATGAATCCAGGGCACAGGGAGCGGTAAATAATTTTTGTCGCGAGCGTTCATGTCCATTGACACAAACAAAAGTACATCAGTTCCGTTTCATATTCCTGCTCTCAGAGATATTGATTGAATACATTTGTGATAGCTGTTGCTACAGTGTTTCCTTAAAAATAGAAAAGCAATATTTAGAGAATAGTTAAAGTCACAAAGAGACTATTATAACACTTTTAGTCTGTGAATTCATTTGTTTCTTGAGAAATTTCACTAGGATTTATGCCTTGGAAAAAATCTAGTGACTCTGTCTCTAAACTATAGCTCAATATATACAACCACCTACCGTTCTTGAATTTTCTTGAGTAAATGTCAGGTAAAGAGTAAAACAGAAAAATCCAATCAAGTTTTCTTTAAAATATACAGACTTTTCAGTTTGGAGAAAAAAATCCTTTTTCTCTGCCTGCTTAAGTTCTTTTAAATCTTTGTGTTGCCACTTGGGCCTCAAAAAATAGTTTTCAATTTCATGTTAAAGTTTAAGTGAGATATCCATATTTACTTTGTTCCCTTCAGATTTCACCTCTTTTTTTTTTCAGGTGAAAACTAACCCTAGCTCATGCAATCTATGTCATAGGATTCATTGGATTTTTGGCATTGCCTGCTTCTACAAACTCTGTACACCCCTATTCTTTCCCCTGAGCTTTGTGTATGGCAAGGCATGTTTGTGCACTCTTTTGTTTTGTATGTTTATGTTTGTAAGTATGTTTTACTTAGAAATCTTAGACTCTCTGTTCACTTTTTATGGTTTTATGACACATCAGTTTGGAGTGAGTTGAGCTGTTAGGGCCAGATGGGCCCTAAACCGAACTTCTTGCGTAGAAGATGAGATACATCAGAGCACACGCATGAATTTGGCCAAATCAGGAGGCTTATCTTTGTAGCTTTGCATTCAGTTTCTCCTAGCAGTTTAGCCAAAATACCAATTTACAAGATTTATTTTTTTTCTTAATATAAGTGTAGTTTTGCCTGTTGCAAAAGACTGTAGTATTACTTCAGATTTCTAGTCAATGTCTTGAATTTATGGTCTCGATGACGATGGCTGTATATTTTGATAGCCTTTGGGACCTTTTGTGTTCTCAGTGGTCTGCCTTATTTGTGCTGTAGCCCCTGCGAGGAGGGAGCTTGCTGTGGTGCTTCCTCCTAGTACTTAGGGTTCTGTTTCCATAGAATGCCGCAGTAAATTGCATTGAAAAGTGTCTCCAGAGATGCTCTTTCCCAGCCTCCTGTTCAGAGCAGGTGAGCTTCTAAACAAGCTCAGCTTGGTGACGCTTGTCCAGGTAAGTTCTGAAAATCTCTAGGGATGGCCCGACCACAGCTTTGCTGGGCACCATGATCCATGGCTCAACCACCCTCATTGTGAAGAATTTTATTTTTTCTTGTTTCAAATTGAAATCTTCCTTGCTGCAACTTTGTCTTTTTGTCCTTTTGCTGTGTGCCTGCAAGAAGTTTGGCTTGGTCCTCTCTACTACCCCTGGGTTAGATACTTAAGGACATCAGTAAGGTCTTTTTGAAGCTGTACAGACCCAACCTACCTCAGCCTCTCCTTGTAAGATGTTGGGTCCAACCCCCGGCCGTGCTTGCTGTGATTTTTCCTCTTAGTTTTTTTCCAAGTTTCAGTGGAATGTACAGAAGATGGTACATCACAGAGAGCTCCTCAGCACTACATTTTTGAAGAAAAATGCTTACCTAGAGCGTGTGCAATTTTTAGTGAAATAATGCCATCAAAATGATTAGAAGCTTTGATTTTATATGTGCTTATAGTAGTGGCAAACTGGTATATAAAACTTATTTCAGTATCTTTAAATCTGCTACTAAAGGCAGAATTAGAATTTATACATGAAGCAATTGAATACAAAATAGTTCAAATCATATTTTTAAATAACTATTAAAGAAACAGTGACATTGCATGCCAACATGTGACTTTTATAGGTCAAAGGCAATCTCACTGAATCATGACAGTTACAGGAATTCTGGGAAAGAGCCCTTGAAAAGTACTGGTATTACTGTTTTATATGAATTGGTTATGATTCAACAAAAAAAGAATGTTTGCAAAAGCAAAATTAATTTCACAGAAGAAATATCTCTGGATTAACATGCAATTAATCTCTGGATTAACATGGCAATATTTCTTAGAGTTGCTTGTTCGAAATCCATGTTACTTGCCAGAATTAAATGTAACCGATTTTTTTTTTTAAATAAAATGAATAATAACTTCTAGACTTTTGAAATATATTGTCTTTTTTCATTTCTTCTGAACTTTCTTAAGATGAAGAAATTTCCTTTGTATTGTATAATTGTGTAGTTTATATTGTAGAGTGTATATTGTAAGAAATATAAAGCTATTGAATTTGTAGATTTTTTTTTTGTGTGTATTACTGACATTTGCCTACTGGAAAATATTTTACATTTAATTGCAAAAATAGGATATTTAGGATTTTTTTTTGGTCACTCTATTTTATAACATTCATTCTGTTCCCATATCAGGCTTAAACTGGAATATGATATAAACTTTTTTTTTTTTTCTTATTCTCATGATATCTTGGTTAAAGTATAACTCATTTTTACTGTTTATTAGCTGTCTGTGTAAGTGATCAGAACTTTGGGCACCATGCTGTGACTTCAAAAAAAATAGCACTTACTTTCAATAAAAGGTTGAGACTTTTTTAGTTTGCAATTTTTGTCTTCCTAAAGTCCTAATAAACACTCCTAATATTAAAACTCAGTTAAGATGTAGAAATGGCTGGGTTGTATATATGTGCTTAATCGTTTCATATTTTCTTTTTAGGTTTTCAGAATAGACCAAAATCCTTAAAAGTGTTTGTTAATCCAAGCAGCCACAAAAGAGAAGCCATGCATGTTTATTATGAACAAGTTGCACCTCTTTTTAAGCTTGCAGACATCAAAACGGATGTCACGGGTAAGTTGCTGCAAAAGCACAGTTTAATCCTGCTTGAAACTAGTACTTAAGCATGCAAGACAATTTGAATTTACTGCTAATCCTTATTGGCTTTGTCTGCAAGTAGCATATTTGTAACTGCAGTTTAATACAGTGCAGGATAGTTCTGTTTCAGCTAAAAGGTTTTGATCATTCCATTTTTCATTAAATAACTTTATGGATATCCCTTTATGGATGTCAGTACAAGTGATATAGTATCTTTTGTGCTTTTAAAGCAAGCATCATGTTAAGAAAGGAGGGACATCTAATCTCTGACAGTCTTGTATATGTTTATGTGTTTTGGGGGAATTTTAACAGTTAGGAAGGATGCATTCTTGGAAGGGGACTGAATATTCGGACCCCAGATTCCTCTGGACTTCTTTCCGCATGTCATAAAAGCCAAATTCCACTGCCTCAGTGGAGTAAGTGTTGATTATTCCACTGCAGCAACAATTTAGGGTTTTTTTTTATTATTATTATATAATCATTTTTTGCAAAGCACTTGCACTTTAACTAGATGTTTTTCCCAAATCATAGAAGCACAAAACATATTTCTTTAATGTATTGAAGATCAATTAGCAATATTGGAATATGTATTGCTTCTATTCAAATAATAGTTAAAGGATCTAGACAGTATCTAGGTCCTTTTGTGGTGATTCTTTGAAAACACTTAGAATCTCAAAAACTTTATAGACTTGTTTAGGTCCTTCTGCCTTTAAATGTTGAGCTTTGGGGCAATTCAGCTTTCTGCTTTTGTCTTCTATCCATCTCTTATTCTGAACATTTCTTTAAACTCAATGAAATTTCTGCTTGCCCAGTGACTAGAACATTAGTTTTGTGATTCTGAAGAAAGGAGAAGGGTCAACAAGAATTCATTCATCTCTTTTGCTCCTCTTTTCTTTGCAGCAGTATCCTCAATTGAGGAGAAAGCGGGCTAAATCTCTGCTAGGGCAGGCCTTGGTGGGAAGAGGCAAACCCTAATCCTGTTTGGTCTAGACAATGCATTTACAAATAATCAGATACTACGAAGACTTCCAGTTCAGGACAGCAAAGAGCCAGGTGTGATACCGAAGTATCTTGCCAATAGAATGAAGCAGAGAGCCCTGTATCAGGCACTTGTGTGTGTGCTGTTCACGCACGGGGCTCGGGGACAGCCCTGGTCCAGGCTGCCTCCTGTCACAGGCTGCCCTGCCAGCAGCCGCGGGTGGCCTCAGGCTCCCCTCAGTGGCACAGGTGTGGCGGTACCTTGCTAAAGCGGGCGTTGTAGATCTATTCATGTAAGATCGAGTAGTGTCAAATCAATTGAAGATTAAAGACTGAACCCAAGAACGAGCACAAAAAGGAATTCAATCTCGGAATTACAATGGTCCTTTCTTAAATGCAGATTTTCTTAATCTCCCATTTTGAGACAAGGTGATGTCAGACACTTTAAATAAGTGTTAATATTTTCATAGCATATATTTCACCTGAAGGACACTATGATGGTGTAAGCAGGTTAGTAACAACATTGCCTTCTTAGCAATTGAATGTTGCCATGTCTGGTCACAATTTTAGGGGTGCAAACCTGATTAAAAGGTTACTAACTCAGAATACATCATGTTTTTAAATAGCTACTTTATTTGAAATAACTAGCTTAAAATGATCCATCTTTTATTTCATTCCTACTGGTTAGTGGGTTTTTTTGCTGTTATTTTTACGATGGACATAACCTCATTTTAAAGGCAACATTCTCATCAATATATATAGCATTACCATTCTAGCTGTGTATTGTCAGCTGGAATCTTAAAACTGAAATAATAAGCCAAGTCTGTAGTAATAATGATATGGATCAATTAATTAAATTGAATTTAATATGAACTATGAATATCATTGGTTTTAAAACTGTTTTTTTGATAACTGAATAAAAACAGTTTCAAGCTATTTAGTTTTGAAAAGTAACATTTGATTTTAGCTGAGTAAATGTTTAATGGCTTATCATTAAAATAAGCTTATTTTGGCGATATCCAAATACTACTATGTTTATTAGCTGCCTAACACTCCTCCTACAGGCAAAATGAGAAAACTGCATTAGTTTTAAGTGCTCACAGAGAAGTACATAATTATGAACTACATAATGAAAAAACAATGTTCATTGGTACCCACTTCTAATAAAGCTAAGTAAGTGACTCATTTCAAGTAAATTGAATGTCTTTCCCTCTTCATTGTTTGGGGTTTTGTTTATGAAGCTGGAGTGTCACTAATGCTAATTTTCAGAAAGATTACTAGTGCACTAGAAATTAAAACTAGGTATTAAAAATTGAAGGTTTTCACCAGGTGGTCTTTACACTAAATACCTGTGATTGGGATACAGCTTTTAGGAGGAGAGGATGGAACAATTCTGAAAAATTAAGTTCAGCAGAACTTGCTCTAAATTTGGGATGTCCAAAAGTTCAGATAAACACTGATAATTGGAGCGTATTTTAGAGATGTAACAGTCTTGCCAAGTCTTAACGTGAACTTAAGAAAAATAAATAAAGTAACTTGAATTGTCCTAGCCGTCAAATCAAGCCGTCTCATTTGGCTTCCTCCTGCTGAGTCTTCTGCTCTCCTGTATGTAGCACAACAAGCTGGGGGTTTAGGCAAAGCGAGAGCCACCTGCTTCTCTCTTCCTTCCTCCTCTGTTTCTAAGACAGCCACCGAAGAAAAGAGAATAAATCAGAATTTGGGGCAACATTGTCGGTTTAAACTTACTGCATGTGCTTTTCTTTCCTGCAAGTGTTAACACCAGTTAATCTGTTGTTCTCATTAGTGGTTTTAATCCTATTGGCATTAGTCTGTGACCAGAGCGCCTGTGTTTAAACGTGTCATACAGAGCTGTCCCATGTTTTGAAGGGTTGAACTAGTTACGTGTTGCTTTCCTCTGTCTTTATGCAGGGACTCAACATTTAGTTTCTTACTGACTGCATGAAAATACGGTGCTCCGGTGTTGTAGGCTTTGCGGCGCTCCGTTCAGATAAGCTACCCCAGCAGTGCCCCGCGTTCAGTTGTCTTTATTTGAGACTTCATAGGTGCTCTTCAATTGAAGCTGGCTGGAGAAAAAAGCCTTAAGAAATATTTTTGTGGCATAATTTGTCTCCAAGCTTGTGTTCTTTTACAAAATAAAATAGTAAATATTTTAATTGTTTCTTTTTAAATGAATATAATGACATTCAGTTCTGTGCAATGTAATTTGGTTGGTGACTTTGTTTTCGTGGGAAGATTTTCTTTCACAGTAAGGTAATGGTAAGATGTCTGAACCTTTATGAATTTACAGGTTGCAGGCACACAACATAAAATTTTGCCAGTCATCATCGTTTTATTTAAGATTTTCCTTACACTACAACTCTGTTAACTTTTAAATCTCCCAAATTGCATTATCTGCTGATGCAGATAATATGGAAAAGGGTAGCAAATTGTATCACTTATTTATATATTTATATATATAAAAACAGAAAACCGTTGACATTGAAGAATGTTCTCTATATACAATTAAGATGCGCAGACGCACACACACACACACACAAATGGGTAAGTAAGTGCTGAGTTCTCGTAAGCAGCATTTGAGTAGTTGGTAGAAATATTGCGTTACAACAGGTACAGATATGGCATGATTGTTTTAGACACCAAGGCTAATAATTTTAACAATATTTAGAAACACTGGAGAAAAGGCTTCAAATATGCTAGCACCAGGGACAGACAAGCATGAAAGATTAATGTAATTTTGCATATAATGATGCACATTCTTACACAAAAAATCCATCTGCAAGTGTCATGTCAGTCAGCAAAAATCTTTGATGGGTGGATGCAGCTGGGCTGTCTCTTCTGGCAAAGCTGGCCTAGAAAAAGCTAAATGTAGTTATGATGCTTTGTGCCATCTGTAGTATGCCAGTTTATCCTGTCTTCACTGGCATTTACAGTACTGCATCGGGCATCAACAAACACAGAGACGTGGATGTAGAGTGACAGATTCATTTCCTCCAGAGGCTACGAACTCTGGTGTAGGCTTGTGCCACCTTTCTTTCTGTTGTATTCTGTTGTCACTGGTATTTGGCTTGATTTCGTATTTCTGTGTTCAACTCCTCATATTTTTTGATTTAGCAATTGGCATATCCTAACACAAAGGCAATTAAATTTGATACTGAAATATTTCGGTCTTAACTGAGGATAGGCATACATTTTCCTGAAGCTTACCAACTGCCAACTGTAAAACTTCTATTTTAACGCAACAAACATTTTATTTGATTGTCTGAATTTAAATGCACTAAATAGCTGTATGTTTTGTGTCAGCTAAGTATAAATATCATATTTTTTGATGTCAGAGTAAAATATGCATAGCTTTTTATACTTTCAACATATTTGGTGATCAAAAAAAAATTCTGAGCTGATTTAATGCATGTTCCTTATGTTAGAAGGACAAAAATAAAATCTCTTAAGTTAACTATTCTTCTGATATTTTAATAATGTTACTTTCCACAGTAACTGAATATGAAGGCCATGCTCTTTCAGTACTTAAAGAATGTGATCTCCAGGCATTTGATGGGTAAGTTGGCTTGTGGTAATGAATGGAAATAAATCCTGTAGTTATTGTTTGCATTCCATCCCAAATTATGCCAAAAGGTGTTTTATGAGTTACTGATTCAGATATATATTAAGACTGAGAAAAGTAGTTCCCATGGGACATTGGGTTTCTTTTAATAATTATCACTTACTGACACATAGTTATTTGTGTCTCATTCCTGAAAAACACTGTATTTTTTGTTTTGTCTTCTACCTTTGTGTAAAGACCTCGAAGTAGTTTTCCTACAGGATTTACCTCCAGTAGCCAGAAGTAAAGGAAAAGAGGAACAGAAAAAGCTGCAAGACTTGAGGGTTACTTAAAAAAAGATTCCTGCCTTTTCTAAGCTAGCTCATTATAAAAAAAAACAAGTTAGGGCTAGGAATAGCTTTGAGAAGAAAGCTGCTTTTCTATCTTCTCGGATAAGTGGTTTTTTCTTTTAAATTTGGCAATTAACTATGTTTTATTATCAGAATATTATCATCAGTATTATTATCAGAAATTAAGAGCAAAAGTGAAAATGTTGTTGCTATTCCTCTGAATCTGTTTTCAACAACAACAAATGCACGTCCCTAGAATGAGAGTAAAATATATCTGTTTTCCAAAAATAAGTCCCTCCAGGTGGAGAATTTATGGAGTAGCAAAGATTCTTGGATTTGCTGCAGTGCCACAGACTTTTAAACTCAGGTATCAATGAGACAAATATCAGGAGATTACTGTTCATGAGCTGGTGGAAGAGGGGGTGCTCCAAACTTTTGCATATATACTCTTACCTTTTTTGATACCGACTGTGTTTAGCTAGAAAGAAGAAGCAATACTCCTCAAAATTTAGAAATGGAGAAATAATTGGCAAATAATAATAATAGGAACCGAAGAAAAATATTACAGAAGCTGAGATAATCCAAGGTAATAACATCATGGATATTTCCTTACAAAGAGCTTACCGTTTTTATCTGTCTAAGTTACTGGGCATAGTTTCCCAACCACATTCAGATTTATGCGGCGGAGCTGGCTTTGTGGTGGTATCCGAGCTGCTGTTGAACAGCAGTTAAAAATTGTGCAAAGTCCGTCTGGGTCAGGATTGTACGACTTAAAAAACTTTTCCACTAAAGCACTTGAGCACATGCCTAACTATCATCTGATTAGTTCTTTGGCTCCAATGTTAAGTGCTCTTATGTACATTTTACGTGAAATATGTTACAGGTAAGTTTTTAATTTTTAAAATACTTACTTATATTCAGAAGAAGGCAGAAATAACAATTTTGTTAGTGGATGTTTACTGATCTGACAGGGAAGCCCGAACTTATTATTTAAAAAACAGAACAGTTATAGCTATTTGAAATATCAGTATGATGATGTATGACAGCCACCTTTCATTTGTTTGATCAGCTGTGAAACTATTCATTCCACACTGCTTAGCATCTTTATTTTGTAATAGGGTAGTTTGTGTCGGTGGAGATGGATCCGTCAGCGAAGTTGCTCATGGTCTGCTACTGAAAGCCCAGATAGATGCTGGAAAAGACACAGACTACCTACTCAGGCCTGCCAGAGCATCCCTTCCTCTTGGAGTAATTCCAGCAGGTAAGGCAAAAAGTACCACTACAGTTTGGTTTTAAATCACTCTGTCACGTCGTGCAGTTTGGGCTATTGAACCTTCAGTTACATAAGGAGAGCTATTGAATAAAACACCTAAATTAGTGATTTAGATGGGTGATGCTGTGGGCCAAATGACTACATTACAAGTGACTAGATTTTAAATCACGAGAATAATTTATATTAATTATTTATTTATTATTTATATTAATGACATTTATTTATTATTTATATTAATGGCACAGATGAGTTCTTTTCTAAAGAAAGAAGCTCCAGAAGAAGAAAATTGGAATTCCTTTCAGTTGATCTGTGTAGAGAGCAGATGATTTTGCCCTTATCTCCTGGAAGAAATGACACAAAATTCAAATTTTTATTTGGTAGAATTGGCCTCATATAAGCCCTTGTGTTATCTTCTCCCTTCAATTTTCTGGACAGGTTTTCTCAAAAAGCGTCTCTCTGAAAAATATATTCCCTCTATTCTTATTATGTTGTCTGATTTCATTAACTTATATCTTGCTTTCTATTTTTTTTTCCTTTTTCACAGTTTTTGCCTCATCCTTTTAGGAATATAATTTGGACTGGACAGAGAAGATTATCTAGAATAGATACAGACAGGGGTGATTCTGCACTGATGTCTCACTTTCAGAACAGAGGAGCTTTGTTTTTATTTTGTTTCGTTATTTTGCATGGACAGTCCCCTCTTGTGCACATTATTTTGCAGTTTTTCAAATGTTCTCAGCTAGTAAGGAAAAAATCACTGTAGCCAAGTGAACAGCAAATCATTCTTTTCAATTTCCTGAAAAACAAACAAATAAACAAACAAAAAGCAAAAGCAAATTTTAGGGCAGCAGTTTGATTTGTCGGTTGGGCCGCAGTGATCACCTCGGTGGAGGGGTGATGACCTGGTCTCTCTCCAGCCCTGGCTCTGTGCTCCTTGGGTTTGCTCCGGTTCCTGCTTCTCCTCGTTAGTACTGAAACCCTTCAGGTTGACACTATAATGTTTTAAGATCAGACAAGGTTTGTGCACCCAGAAGAAGTCCCAATATCATATAGCTGGAGGCAGTCTTCATTGCCAGGTGATGAGAACAAGTTATGTAATAGCGGGAGAAACTTCTTAACAGATTCAGCAAACATTAAGCTTATTTTATTTCAATATCATATTATACCCCAATTATCCAAAAGTAATCATATTGAAATAGATAAGTATGATATTTGTACATGAAAAACTTGCAGCTAAATGCCAATTAATCTTTTTTAATCCCTTTCCGAAATCCATTATACCCAATATTAAGGTTTAATAGTGAGTAAGAACGGGGGCTATGTATAGCACTGCATTACTGGAATGGATTAAGGTCTGGGCTTGGGCCTCTGCTACGAGTAGCTAAATCAGCACCTCGACGTTCCGGGTCCGGAGCTGCTGCCGCTGAAGCCGTCGCCTCCCGAGGAGACGGATGTTTTTCCCGGAGCGCCCCGGGGAGCAGCAGGCCAAGCTGCTCTGGGCCGGATGGAAGGCTGGGTCTTTGGGATGCAAGCAAGAGGGAATGTTGCTATGGGAACTCCTGCTACAGAGGACGTGGGTGGGAGGGCGATTCGCATGGAGGAGGGTGGAAGGGGGCCTGGGAGGACATTAAAAAAAGCTCCCTGCTTCTTACAGAGCTAGAGTGAATCTGTGTCTGATGGCTGCGAGCCCTCTTTGTCCTCTGTGGCTCATTTAAATAAATTCATGATTTCCAATTAATTTGGAAACATAGTGCTATGGAGGGACTGTTAATTTCTGCAATCTTTCAGGCAAGGAACCAAAATGTTGGTGCAGTTTTCATCAGAATTTTAGATATGCTTGACTAGGAAGTCATTACATCACATTTATCTGTTTGGATGGGGGAGACATTAGCATCCTTATGAATATTCATGTTGTCTGGTTAATTAAGTTAATTGAACTGCAGAAGTGCTCACACTTCCAAGGACGCCCCTTCCTTTCCCTGCCTCCCCACCAGTTTCTGCCGGGTCCCTTCCTCGGTCCGCCTCTTCCTGACCTGTGGGTACCTTGTCCCGCAGGGGCCATAGGATGCAGGGAGGAGGTTGCAGGAACTTGTTTGCAGTGTCAAGAAAACATGTTAGCGGGCTGGTTTTTTGTTTTTTCAAACAGAAATATGTGCTTCAATATATGTTTCAAGCATTATATATATGAAATAATATTTTTTTCTGATAAAATATATGCTGGCATCGTACAGTTGAAACCTTTTCATGCCATTTTGCAGTGCAAGTGCAGAGATGAGCATCAAAAACGCTCATCAGAACCTCCATCGTAACACCCCAGTGTTCAGGGGAACCCTCTCGAGGCTGGTGAACAATATCCCAACTTTATGCAGAGGAGAAAAAAAAGTTCAGGTGACTTGGCAAGATGAATAATATTTTGAAGAAGCGAACTCTGCCAAGTGTGTGTTGCAGCCCCCTGTTCTGCACGGTACCGTGCCTGGCCCTGGCTCTGCTTGCAAGGTCTGGAGACCCCGAGGGGAGTGGGTCCAGCCTTCCCGGGAGCCAGGAGAGGCTGCATCTCTGCCTCGTTTACTGCTGCACGTGCTAATGGGCTCTACAGACTTAAGGCTTCAATTACTTGTGCCTATTCCATTTAGTAGGAAGAGGATTTAATTCTCATTAAAGTCAGTATGAAGATTGGTACTGACTTCAACCCTGGTCATTTGTTTCCTCTTTGCCATCCGTGTTGATAAACTACTGTTGCTTAAATGAGGAATCACAGTTTTAAGACATATTGAGCCAGATCTTCAGAAGTATTTTTTATCCTGTGCTCTTTTATTAGCTGATCTTTAGTGACATAGATTTTGTCTTCAGAATATCAGCTTCTCTATTGTCCCTTTGCAGGAAGTCAACATGGTTTGCATGACTTCCAATAATCCCAACTGTTTGTCACTGTATGCTTTCCTTTTCTGTGCTTTTGAAAATAAGTTTTCTAATTTCAACTACAAAACATTCCCACTTTTAAAAAATTACATTCTTATAAAAGTCCATTAGAGTTGCAAAAGTAGGATCCAAGAAGCTACTTTTGAGCTAATTCACTGTCTGAGCAAAAGTGGTTGAATGTAGAGGTTAAATGGAATAAACCACTAAAACATGAAAGGGGCTTTGGGCATATATTTCAAGCAGTCTGTAAGGCACTGCTTTTTAGATCAAAACTGAATTGGTCAGGTTCTCTTGTCTCAACACATCTGTATAGAACTGCATTTTATAGTCCCTGAATTGAAAATGTTACCTGTTTGCGTATTAAGTAACATCTGTAGTTTGAACGATGACTTGCATTTTATGCTTATTTTACAGAAAGAGAAAAATCATGGAAAAATATTTTTAGCAGAGCTGTTGGGTATAAATTATGGACGTTATTGTATTCTTAATAAACTATGCCTCCTGGTAGGATTCTGCGTGTTTAGAGAGACTGTCTGCTGGGAAAACTGGAGGAGACCAGGGGTTTGCCTTTATTCCTTCCAGTTTCTGTTTCTCACACAGTACTTTCTACTTCTAGTTTGCTGGGTTTACTTAAGCATTTCTTTCTAAAAAGGGGGAGAAAAAAAAGAAAGAAATTAATAGTATAATCACCTATAAAGTTTTGTGAAATAGATTGCATTAAATAGATTACATTTCTCCTTGAATTATTCAAAAATAAGAAGGGACTCTGTGTGCTGATGATTAACTGTGTGTCACTCCTGTGTGCTTCCTTCCACGTGCCACTTTGAAGGTAAAAACTTCAGAGAGAGTTTTGTGCCTGGTAATGCATGTACCTCCCTCCTGTGTTCCCTTTACAGGTACTACTAATATTTTGGCCCACACGCTCTATGGTATTAAGCACCCAGTGACTGCAACATTGCACATTATAATGGGTAAATATTCCATTGGGAATCTTTGTTTGAAGATAAATTGTATGTCTTTTCATTACGTCTGCACAACAAGTAGGTGTTTGACTGTGAAAATGTAATTATGCTAAAAGCAGAAAAACTAGGTTGCTGGTATAAAACTTTACTTCTGTACTTAGGAAACAGCAAATACTTAGTTGAGTATTATTAATATTTCCATTGGAGCATTTCTGGTTTGGGATACCTATTCTAAATGAAAAGAAGATAATGGAGAAGGTAGTTTCACCTTGAGCATCTACTTTCTAGCCTTCACAGTTAGTAATGGAAGAGTCCTTGCTCTGTTTTAGATAGGAACATAGATGCCTTACATGCAAAATCTAGGACTGTTTGTTTTTTAATCAGACACTCAAATTAATGGAAGCCAGAGGGTCTTTTAAAAATAATTTTTATTCAATTTTATATAGGCTGTCTTGAACAAAATTAGATGCTTAAATTCTGTGATTATAAAAATAAATGCATTTGAAACTTATATTTAAGAGTCTCTGCAACTCCTCCAATAAAATACGTAAGTGTACTGTTGCTAAATCAGTACCAAGTTTAGCCCTTGCACATACCGGGTGGAAATTTTGCAAATATTTGTGTAGCAATAATTTTCTCTGATTCTATATATATATTTTTTAATCTGAGAAGTAATTAAAAGTCAAACTACTACATCTGGTCTGATAGTACCTGAGTTTTGGTCATAGATGTTGTAACTTTAACATTTTGTAGCAGAATTATTATTTTTTAGACTCTAAATCGTATCTAAATTCTTTCCAGTTTTCTTTAGTAATACTTGACTTCCTAAAAAGAAAAGAGTCCGGACCTTTATTAATTAAATTAGGTGGAAAGGAGATTGTAAGTTATAATCGTTTACGATATATCGTTTACGATATATGAAAAACGGATGTTTATAATTTCTGATGTCTATCTTTGAAAATTTTAGGACATGTTCAACCAGTTGATGTCTGCACTTTTAGTACTCCGAGCAGGCTTTTACGTTTTGGGTTCTCGGCCATGTTTGGCTTTGGGGCAAGAACTTTGGCTTTGGCTGAGAAGCACCGCTGGATGCCTTCTAATCGGCGGAAGGATTTTGCTTTTATCAAAACACTGGCAAATCTCAGGTATGCAGTAACTGCTGTATTTTCTCAAATATTTTTCATTTTCTCACAGAAAATGCAGTAACTAAAGAAGTAAAATATAGAGATAACTTGACAACTCAATCGCAGCCAAATCCGTGTGATGTATATTTTCACTACAATTTAAAGAAGAAATAATTTTTGTATATGCACATCCTCTTAGAATCATTTTAACTTTTATGAAAGTCTATCTAAACAGAGTTTTGGCTTATGTGATAATAAATATTAATGCTTTTCCAGGCCAGAAGAATGTGAGCTATCATTTCTACCTCTTCAGATTTCACAAGAAGATTCTCATGAGAATGACAGGTAAGTAAAACTGAGGTAACCCCAAATCTGGAAAAAAAAAAAAGAAACTTAATCTTTGAAGATACAATTGTACTAATTCTAAATTATTCCAATTTAATAATCAGGCAAAAAGATCTTAAATATTTATTTTGACAATTGCTAGCATGCACATTTTGTGAAATGTTCACTTTCCATTTATGAGACCATAGAAGAGTTGTTGCAAAGCAGACTTTCTTTCACTTAATATTAGTTTCGTTCAGTTTCATTAGTCCTTTTTCCGTTGAGATACTACATTTCTCTTAAGCAGATATTGTTCCAATGTGTTAAAATCACTTAATATTATCTGCATATTTTCACCCTTCTAGAAGGAAGAAAGAGACAATTAAAAACAAAGGTGAGTTTCAGCTTAATTATTTAGAAGTGAACTGTGTCTGGTTAAAGTTAAATAATGCAGAATTACTGTGTTATATTTAGGCAGCAAGGATCAATGGCACAAGATCCAGGGTCACTTCCTGAATGTGAGCATTATGGCAATCCCTTGTCTGTGCTCAATGGCACCAAGAGGCTTGGCACCTAATACGAGGTCAGTAGGGGTTTAGGGAATTAGTCATGTCTATAAATTCTGACATCTTACCTTAAGACCTTGGCTTTTCGGCGAGCCCTAGGCTGTGTTTAGGCAGTCTGGACCCTCTGGAATGGGGGAGGGAGAATAGACTGCAGCAGACTCGATAATCCTAGGAATTGTAATCAGTTTTTAGATCAAGCAAATAAGGTCAAGTAGTCTAACTGGAATAATGAATGGATAATTGCTGCGACTAAATTAGTTGGCAAGTCTGACTTAGCTGGTCGTCACCAAGCAGTCTGTCACCCATTTCAGCTGTAAGTAGAAGCTTCATGTTGGATATTTTTTAAAAGGTTTTTGTTATTTTTTAAACTATAAAGATGCTCTTCGTCTTTCACTCAACAGACAGGAAAAGGGAAACATGAATCTTTTTCTGGTATCATGAAGAACTGAAATTCATACTATATTTTGTCTTTTTTGCTGAGCTTAGAAAATACAACTTCCACAGAGACTCAGTCATTTCCCCAAACCGTGTACCTAATCTCTCCATGGATGCTGACTCATGCTGCCTTTGGTTATTATAAAGGCATGTCTTGCAGTGATCAAAATAACTATTGGATCATAAATATGTGTACTTGCTGCATGTTGTGGAAGGCTATGTAGAACAGCAAGTGGCGCCTCCATAGTCTATACATGAACTACAACACCAGTCCCCCAAATAAGACATCAAAACTCTTGTATGTAAGACTATACACTCCTAGAAAAGATTATGGAATGAATCTCTTCTCTTGCTGCTCTGGTAGAACTTGATTTGTCAGAAAGAAAATGTAGAAATGGATGTTTTTAGTGAAGCTCTTGCTGAGAAGATTTCTATGCTCCAGGAGTCCTGGTAAGCCTCATACTTCCAAATAGTGCCCAAATGCTGTTCCCCTCCTAGGAACTTGCATTGTCCAATATTTATACTCTGTTCTATTCCAGCCAGTAGAAAACATCTTTCTAGATGGTAATTTATGGTGGTCCCATAATATTACAAATGCAACAGTTAAACATGGAACTATTACACCACTCCGTCTGTGGTGTTAGGCCAGATGTATATATACATAAAATCTTAACCATAATATTACAAATGCAACAGTTAAATAGCCATGGAACTATTACACCACTCCGTTTGTGGTGTTAGGCCAGATGTATATAAACATAAAATCTTATATGTAGTTTTCAAAGCATACATTCTGAAGCATGTATTCATATACATGTATATTCGGAATGTATAAAATATGTAGTTTGTGTATAAAATACAGTCTCTGCAGTCACTGTGCTGTTCATCAGATACTTTTTGTTGAAGGCTGGTTTGTCTCCATAACGTAAACGGGCCTTCAGGATGATTGTGTTACACCTTAGCTGTTACCTTTTGTGACAAGGTTAAGAAATCTGTGAATTAATAGTAGCTGAGTGTCATGATCCATGTTCTTGAGGGGATGCTCAAGTACCAGTTTCAAATGGGCACTTGCATTGAGAATCAGAACTGCAGTGTGTTGTGTGGTTAATCTCTCACATGTGCCCTGTTGGTTTTGTATAAAACTCCTCTCAATTCTTAACTCTCCTGTTCTCTGGGCAACGGGCACCCAGAAGGAGCTTGCACAGAACGAGGCCGGGCTGAGGGCACTGGGGGTGAAGGAGCCCCCATGGTGCTGGGGGCTGCGGGATGGAGGTGAAGGAGCCTGCGGTGCTGGGGGCTGCGGGATGGGGGTGAAGGAGCCCGCGGCGCTGGGGGCTGCGGGATGGGGCTGCACCCGCCGCGTCCCGGGTGGCCGGCTGCTGCCTGCGGAGTGCGGCGCTCCGCACCGCGGGCATCGCCGCGCTGGGCTGGCAAGAGGAGTGTGAGAATAGGGTTGTGATCACTGAGGTTTAAAAATCATCTGCTAAATAAAAATGAAGATCTTTTTTTTAATAGCATCTATTATGTGTAGCAGATTATAGGTAATTGATAGAGGAGTCACATTACTTGTCACTCTCTTTATTGTGTAGATGCCAAGTAACTTCAGTTGCATAGTTCATATTGCTCTACAGAAAATCTATTTGACAAAAAAAAAAAAGAAAAAAGAAAAAGAGAATTTTTTACTATTAATTTACTTTTGCTCCTAGGCTTGAAGAGCCTCTTTGACTTTCAGGTGATAAGTTTACTCTGTCTGCTTTCCAGGCTGAATAATGGCAGCATGGCTCTCATTATTGTGCAAAATACTTCTCGTTCGGAGTTCATTAAACACCTGAAAAGATACACAAGTGTAAAAAATCAGGTACTGTTAATGTTTTTCTGGTAATTGTAAAAAGAATGGTTAATCATGGACAGAGACATGCTGTAAGAGTTAATGTTAGCAACCTCCTAAGGAGACTTAGCTTCCTGTCAGAATACATTAGCCCCCTTCATCTGATTTTTCTTTCTTTTTTTTTTTTTCTTTTTCAATCACCAGACTAATACCGATTAGCCTATTTCAGCCCATCTGTTGTGGTTTAAGTTGTATTTATGCTGCAGCATAGTTTTATGCATAAAGCCATGCACCAAAAAAAAGAGGAAATAACCACTGCGTTTAAATTTGGTGTGGAACAGAGAATACGGGCTGGGGCGCTGTACAATGCTGTAAGGAAGTGGAAAAGTCCATAGTTCTGGCAGGTTATTCCATACTAGGCTTCTAGCAGTAGGCTGTTACCACTGATTTTAGCAAATAGTAGATGTTTTACTAGTCACAAACATTTGCAGAACTATTTCCAAATTGTGGTCAACATATCCTTCCCACAGCTTGTGCTAAATAAAAACATTTTTACAGAAAAGTTTAGATTTGGATTAGATAAACATCTGAGAGAGAGAGAGATCTTGGGGAAGAGGTGAGTGACAGTTCCATAACCAGCACTACCCCTTCGGTTTAGGAAACAGTTTATGGTAACTTTGCCATTAGTATGTCCTGGGAGGAAGCCTCTGGTATTATTTTTATTTTTTTTTCCATCTCCCTCTTTATCATTGGAAATTAGAAAAGGGGATGTGGACCCTGCTTTAAACCTAAGATGACCAATTACTGGGTATATAAATAGTCTCATTTAGGACGGGATTATTGGTAGCGATGAATGGACTACAGGAAAATTGCTGATTTGACTTTCATGTACTCTGAAGGCATGCGCAGTTTTGGAGCTAGAGTTAAATTAAACTGAAAAGCTTGCTCTTTCTTTTTAAGGAGTTCAGTCCTATGAGCTATATCTCTAATATACATTTGTGCTTGGTGTAGTTCAATTTTCCCTTTGTTGAGACCTACACAGTTGAAGAAGTAAAAGTAGAGCCAAAATGTAAAAGCGTGTTTGATACCAAAGACGATACGTACGGGAATGGCACTTCTGCAGAAGGAACTTACCCTTGGAACATAGATGGAGACTTGATGGAAGAAGCATCTGCTGTTCACATTCGGTAAGACTCCAGTATTTGTAATACCTTACACCAACACTATAGTGGTATTGCAATCTTAAGGGTATATAATAAAAATGACACCTGAGTGTTGCAAATAGCCTAATAATAGTAGTTCTGTGTCCCACTGGGCACTGCAGTGTGGCCTGTTGCAATCCTGTGGACATCCCCCATCCCCACAGGCCCATCTTTGAGAAGGTTGATGACCTGTAGGGCCCTCGCTTCCTGGCACATCCGGACATTGCAGCTCCATCTCTTTCTGCCTGCTGCTTCACCCTTCTGTTCCTCAGAGGAGATCAGCCATATGCGAAGGTCTGGGGCTGCGGGGGAGCTTGATTTGGGAAAGCCCTGCCTGTAGCTTCAACAAAAAATGCAGGTGTTCAACAGTGGGCAATTCAGTGCTGCTGGGGGAACAGTCTGCATAGCTGGTCCTAGTACAGCAGGACCTGAAAGGACCAGCACAGTGGAACAGGAGGTGGCTTGTCCTTCTGCAGCACAGGGCAGCAGCTCAGGGTAGAGCACCCTGTAACGTGGTCTGGTTTGGAAAAGAAAAGCGGGACCACGTTACAGCATGGGTGAGAAATATACTTTTAAATGCATACATGCATACTTCCAAATGCACCCTTTTAAAGATGTCCTTGTAGCAGCTGTGGCAAGTATATCCAGCTGATTTCACTCCAGGCAGCAGTTCATATAGACCTTTTGTTCTTTTTTTTTTTTTTTTTTAAAGACACACACTGCAAGAGTCAATGGAACTGATCAAGTTTTGACTTCCTCCCTCACAGGCTCCATCCTCAACTCATTGATCTCTATGGAGTGAACACTGATGAACTGGAGGGTTCCAAAGCAACCTGTAATTGTATATAGGAGGAATATGCAGCCTTTTTGCTGCAGGTTCTGCATTGGAAGAACCTTTTTTCTACCTATGAGCATGTTCTTTTAAGGCCTCAGACTTTCACTCAGTGAATGTGGTGGCTGTAGCAAAAGCTTCATTGGATGGTGGTAGTACTTCTGGTCTTAACTATATCCTGATAAAAGTATGTAACTGTAAAGAAGATGTCTAGGCACAACAAGAAAAAATACATTGGTCTCTATTTTATGAATTGGGAGTGTAAAATGTACATCAGAATAAAATATATTTTTATTAAAAATTATTTTAGCTACTGTGATAAATACAAGATACTACTTAGCCTGCTGTTGGTATATGGGGTATCAGGTAATTCAGTTTAAGTAAGGAGAATTAGGTTAGTAGAAACTAAGAAGGCAACCAGAGGCAAAATAGTTGTATTTTTGATCAGGTATATTTTGATCAGGATCAAGCATCATTATTTTTATGTTGCTTATGCCATACTTTAAGTCCACTTCTAGTCAGCCCTAATATGCTGATGTCTTCTATGTTTTTTCTTTGAAATGCATTTGAAAGGCTACTGTTTTTACAAAGTATTTTTAAGCATCTAATGCACCCTAGAACTCAAGTGCTATTCAGCATAGTTGTGCTAGGTATGATCAGCTCAGTTTTTGTAGCTGTCTTACAGGGTGTAAACGTATTTTAGGGCAGTTCCTTAACTATTTGAGATACCTGTGCAGGTTAGCACTCTTTTATTTATGTTTTTGTGTTTTTTTTCTGGGAACGGGCTTTCTCTGAGATGGAAATTGACAAGACTGTCAGGCCACAGGACCATAGGAATAACAAATGTAGTCCTATTTACTTGTCTTTGAATTATTGCTCAAAATAAGGCTAATGAGAAAATGTTATGAAACTTGTCTTGGCTCAAGACTTACGTTACTTTAAACCCTTACTACAGTAAGCAGTTGAGTTAAAATCCATCCCAAGGTCAGGGTGTCCTTCTGAGGAGGAGGTTCTTCCTTAGCTCCAGCTGGAACCTCTTGTTTCAACTTGCACCTGTTGTCTAAAGAGGATTGAGCAGCCTTCACTTAAACCCTTGTAACTGATACAACTTTGATTCCGTATCACATCAGATATTTTAACATAGTTAAGGCAATTCAAGCTAAGCTTTCTAAGGCTAAGGAGACTATTCTAGCAACATGTATTGCGTTAAACTGGTTTATTATAAATTTGAAAATTAACAGGCAAATAAGAGCTTGCAGAAGAGAGACGTTCACGTGTTTAAGTTGTGGGGTCTTTTTAGTGAAGTGAAACTCAGTGATACTTTAACTTTGCTGTCATCAGGGATATACATTTATTTTCATGTCAATCTTAGTCCTAAAAACAACATTTTGTTTCATGTCCTAAGAACAGTCAACCAACATTTATATGTTAATAATAAAATCTGAAGAGAAAATATGCAATTTCCAAGTCGACATTATTGTATTTATTGGTTTTGAAACAAGTTTTACCTAAGACAAAATGCTTTAGTTGCATTTTCTTTGCATTGTTTGTATTAAGAGGAATTATAATGCTTTTTCCAGTATTTGAGGTATATTTTTCACAATATGCTGTCGTAACAAACTCATTTCTGTTCAAAGATATTTTGGTTAAAGTGCAATAATTCACTAAAGCCATTTGGAAAATAAACTTATTTGTATGTATTTCATAGACTTGCAAGAAAATATTTTATTCTTCACACATTTTAGTCTGTTTTTTTTTTTTTTTATTATATATGCACATTCATTTGTCCTTACACTGCAGAAGATTTTAGAGCAAAAAGCTATTTTAGAATGAGCTACATCTTTGTAGTCAAATGAGGTGAAAGAAAATTGTAAGTGCTCAGCTTACATAGAAAAATGGTCCCCAATACTTAGTACCTTTGGACAGTGTGGCTTTTATGGCACCAGATATACTCGAGTAGCAAATTTGCTTGTTGAAGGCACTTGGTCTTGCTTTTGAGTCACAGGCTAATTCCCGTATGATGATGCAGCTTCAGAATGTAAGCACATGTTACATTCCTTTCTCTGCACCATTCCGAAAGACATCCAAGACAAGGCAAGATAAGCCATCTATTAAGCTGCTGTTGCAATGAAACTTGGTTAGTGATGAGGCTGTACATTCTCCACTTGTACCGGGGAACAAACCCATTTTTTTCCCTGTTACTTGTATTTTTTTGCCAAAGCTAGATGGCAGTGCAAACTTACCTAGCTCAAGAAACTCGCTGTAAGAGCAGAGCAGCGGTTTGGACCATGGTTCTGTTCATTGCTTTGCCTTTCCCCTGAGTGGTTACTGTGGATGCCAGTTTGGATATTTATTTGAAAACACTTATAAAGAACCCACTATAGCTCTTCAAAAGACTTAAAATATGTTCAGGTAGCATTTGACAAATCTAAAGATAAAATCTGGCCCAGTAAGGGTTTCAGGTTCTGGAAGAATACCAGTACTAAATACTACCAGGCTAAACATTATAAAAAAATCTTCAAATAAATACAAATAAATACTTGCTTAAAAATTACTCACATGGAAGTCTTTCACTATAGAAGTCCAAAATATCATAGCACTGACATTTGAGGAAAGGATGAAACAACTAATTCTGTCACTTTTGCACACGGTTTAGATGACTAAAAATGATGATCTCCAATAAGTTACTTTTTCTGCATTTGAGGTAGGATTCTGTGCTGCATCTCCAAGCTACAACTCAGAATTCCCTGCTTTAAATCTTTGACCTTACTGGCTTTGGCTTGCCTGGGTGTGTGAATCTCTGCAGTGCCAGGTTGTGCCTGTGAAACCAAGGCTCAGGATGTTGCCTTCAGAAGCCCGAGAGCTTCTGAGCAGTCTCCTAAATGTGCGTGCTCTACATACAGTCTCCCTCTACACGTCATTTTTACCTTGTTAAATGGTCAAAGCAACCTGAGGGAGCATTTCTTCTTGAATGTCTTTGTCAAAAGATTATTGCAAGTTGAAAACTAATGGAATTACTTGTGCTATAATATGGTTGAGATCTCATTGTCCAGGATTGGCCAAGCTTTACCACTTTGCAAGAACTCTTCTTTCGGGTATGTAATTATTCTTCTCTTTATCTTTAGTGTTCTTCTGTCTGTCTGAAACCAAAGATGATATGTGGCATTTCAAATACTACTTCAATACAACTGCTTTACCATTTCCATGTTAGAAATAAAACTGTACATAAAGGTGTGGTCTTCCACGCAGGTCAGGGAAATAAAATGTATTTTCTAAGAGTGAGCAGTTTTCTAGTCATTGATGTTCCTTATGTGAATTAGGCTCAACTTTTTATTCTTCATTTGTAAAGAGCTTTTATTTGCCATCTTAGTCATCTTTATTTCCATTTGTAAAACTCCAGCTGTCTCTTCTGTCCTGGTCTTGAGAGACTGGTTTGTATGGCCTTTTGAAGAAGCCAATCTGAAATACATAATTGTGGAATCTGTTAGCATATATCAGTAACCCTTTGTTATCAGAGTTAAACAATATAACATGAACCAAAATGAAATGACCATCTATTGTGCCCATGAATAGAGTGTATTTGCCGTTACTTTATCATACTGAGTAATGAATGTTACTCATTAATCAGAAAAGTAGGTTGCTTTTTCTTTTTCTAATTTGTACATAATATAGAAGGAGGAAATCCTCTGAAAATTGGGAGGCTAATGCTCTCCTTCTGTAAGGAGTAAGAACAAGTGAGCTTTAAACTGACTCCAGGATTTTTTAAATGTGAAATGGTATTAAAACATAGGATTTAAAATTTCATTCTTACACTTTTCTGGAGAGAGAAAGGAGAAAAAAAAAAGGCAAAAGGAAGAAGTCTGTTTGTCAGTGAAACTTCCAATTGCTTAATCACTTGTTGGAGTAGCTGCTTCAATTAACCTTTTCTTTTGCTACTTATGCACAGGATTTCTTAGCATCTGTGTGGCAGCTTAAAATCTAAAACACTTTTTATTCTGACCAGCTGTTCTGTAAACCATTACTAATCAGGTCTTAAAAAAAATATTAAGTGTGGAGCAGGAGCCCACAAAGCTGTTCTTTTTGATCTCATTTTATAAACTTTAGATGCAGTATAAAATATGGGAAGAGTTTGGTGTTGCTGATTAAATTAGAGATGTAAAATATGCAGAAGATACTTAAGAAAAACAGAATGCTTTGGAAAAAGCAACTTACATAAGTTATTTTTCTTTAGAAAAGATAGATCTTATTAAATATTATTTATCCCTTAAACTTCAATAATGAATCCAACAGGATCCAAAGAACCATCAGTGTAAATTCCTGATTTGAGAATATCTGAGGCTTACTGAAGACTTACCTTCCATAATATAAATGAAAGAAGCAGAAACAAGGTAACACCAACTATTAAGCCTATCCCAATTATCAGGACAGTAACACGGTATTTTGGCTTTTGGTGGTGCAGTCCTTCTAAGTACACCTATGAAAAGAGCAAAAATGGTCCATGTTAGCTGATTCTAAAACATGCTAAGAAAATGAACTACATAGTTATGATTGTGTATCTATCACAAATCCACCACTTAAGGACTTCTTACATAAGCAGATTGCTTGTTCTTCTGTAGTTCAATAACTTTTCCATTTTTTTCTGGTGATGCTGTTGCTCTCACTTCAAACTCCAAGGCTGATGCATCATCCTGATTAAAATGAAAAAACAACAAACAAACAAAAAACACAAATCAAAACATACCTTTTTAAAAATAGGGTTTTTTATGGCTTTTTTTCCAGAGAAGTCCAGTTATGAGCTAGAATTAAATTCTAATAGTGTTAATGACAGATGCCCTGTCTGGAGGACAGTTGTGGTTAACAGAATTCTAGTTTCTATTTTAAGAGGGTTTTTTTTTTCCCTTATTTGTTCCTTCATCCAGGAGCTACCCTATCAATGATATTTGAAGCAAAGCTGCAAGCATCAGAACAGTCCCCATGCACTGATGGATCTCCTCATCCAAGGAAGAAGGTAAGACCCTGGCATTGCAGGTGTGCACTGCGCAAGTCGTCTTCAATCATAAAGCAGAACTGTGTTTGGGTTTTCTGTGGAAATACATTTTAACTTGGTCTTCAAATAGTACTTCTCGCTTACAAAGTTTAAATTAATTTTGACTTTAACAGAAGGATGCTACTTTATAATATGCTTGAAATAATAGAGCAGCAGTTGGCAGAGCAACAGTAGATTGTTCAGAAGAGACTTAGCACTTCAAACAATTTACGGTATGCAAGGACAGAAGACACTGCCATATCATGAAGGTATGGACCAGTGTTTCTTCTAGTCAAGAATCCCTCCTCTTTCTCACATGAAAACTAAAATAACTCTGATATATACTCTCTCTTGGCTAACCATTTTCCAATAGCTACCCTGCTTCTTATATGCTGATCATGACCTTATTGCAAATACTCAGCTGCACTACATAACCCAGTCAGAAGAGGCAAAGCAATGGATGCTATAAAGTAAAATTACCATTTTACTTTATCTGAAATGCATCTTTTCTGGTGGGTAGCATTTTCACAAATTGCCTTGAAACGTAACATGAAAATGTAACAAAAATACATAACGCTTAGCAGATTTAAACATGAAAATGTAACAAAAATACATAATGCTTAGCAGATTTGTTGAACTATGAAATCCAAATAATGTTAATATCTAGAAATGCTATGCAAAGATTATTTCAAATACACCTTGAAATTGTCCACTTGAGTATTAAAAATGCATTACCATTTCTAAAAGTGAAGGAGTAGCCTCCAGATGCACCTGAACAGTTGCTTCTTTTCCGCTTTCCATGTTTCCAAGCTTGCAGTGTATTTGCAAACAAAGACTGTCATTTTTCATGCAGTACTGTAGAGAAGAGGGAAAATAAAACTAGATCATCTTTTTCTTGTTAGAAAGTAGAGACATTCAGGAACTGAGTAAAATGAAAAGCTCTGTGTTTGTGTGTGACAGGTGAGGATGCAAGGGCAGGTGTAACATCCGTGAACTGTCGCTAATGGTACAAGGAACTCTAACTGCTGTGCAAGACAACAAGTTTTAATCTTAAAAAATATATATATATGTTTAGAAATATGAGGAAACAATTGTGATAACTTGGTTCTAAGTAGATTAGTTTTTACATTTTTAATTCAATTGAGTTTATTTATCAGGAATTATAAATATAAGGAGTGATTATATGCTACCTAAGATAAATAATATACCCTGTATACTTGCTGGGTCCTTAACTATTGCATTGTGAGAGGGCACTCGTAGATTGGCAGTGCAATTTCACAAAGCTTTGAGGAAGAAAAAAGAAGTAGGCTTGTAGTGCTAGGCTGCACTGCCAAGGATCTGACTTGAAAGAGAAAAAAAAAAAAAAAAAAGCTGATATTCTACTGCATAGTCTTGTCTTTCCATCAGTTGTGGACATTTCTATAACTTGCTTGCTTAAGAGGCAAAAATTAAGTATTTGAAGACATACAGTTCCTTTTACAATGAAAGTATTAAAATTGTATTTCGTTAAACATGTTCTAGTCCATAGAGATTTTTGTTACTAGAATAAACACTGAACTAACACTAGGATAGCAATTCGGATTTAGACTAGTTAGTCCAGTAGCTGATCTCCAGCAGGCTCCATAAGCGGATACTGAGGGATGAGTAAGAACAGGCTAGGTATGTATGAAATACTCTTATCCTGCCATGCATTTCCATCAGAAACTTCCTGAGCCAAGAATAATTTCACTTTGTGTAGTAGTTCTCCATAACTTCCACCTCAAATCTTTGGAAGACTGCCCTAGTGACCTCATTATATAAAACAAAGCTCATTCCTACTCAGTAATCACTGACTTCCCACTGCTGGCAAGGGCCAGGCCTTACCATGCGTCTCTTATCGGGCTTTGAAAAGAAAGTGACAAGATCCTTTAATATGTTGTCATTCTTCCCTGCAGCGTTACAGTTTCTAGGATATTTAGTATAGGAACATTGTCCAGTAGTTGCCTGGAAATAGAAACAACAAAATCAGTGCTTTGTTTTTAAACATCAGATAGTGATGACAGGCAGACTTCTGAAAAGCAAGAAGCTCAAAAGGAACCTAACTGGTACTTGCAAAATTTTAAAACACATAGGGCTGAAGACGACCCCTCCTGCCCATCCTACCTCATCACAGGCTAATTTAAACTTTATGCTTCCTTGTTTCACCAAATTACACAAAACAATTTGGGAGTGAGATACAATAAGCCAGAGAGGCTTGAGGTAATTTGTGTTTGTACAGTAGACACAGGACATCTGTTGTACACTATTTCTTAAGAATAGGAATGTTCTAAAATGGAAGGACTGTGTATTACATGTTCTGCATAACCACAAATCTTCTGCTTCACAAGATATAATAAGGCTTGATGAACTGGAATCTTTAAAATATTGTAAAGAGGCTATTCAGTGTAGAAGTTTTCTGATTCTTTTTTAAACACACTGTATTTTACTATTTACAAAGTGTTCAGTGCCACAGCAGAAAAGAACTGACAAACACAAATCATGAATCAAATAGATTCATGCCTAGGATCGAGCTTTGCACAGATGGATTTAGTACATTGGGACTCTAGTAGGAATTTATGCAGGTTTGAAAGAAAGGGATAAAAACTGAACACATACATAGTGCTACTCCTGTTATGCTCAGCTTTCTTCATCTAATTTATATAGTTAAAACAATGTGAAATAGCCTATGCTCACCTTGATATCCAGCAAGTTGAATAATTTGAAGTTGTTGGGTGGAAAGGCATTAGGTACCATTATCTCCAAGTCTGTATTTGGAGCCATGCTTGGTCCTGAACTGATAAGCTTGTAGGGAAGAATGGTAAATGTTTTAAAGCTATAATTCATGGTAGCTGTTCAAGTGACAAATACATGTATAGAAACTATAAATACAAAAAATTCACAGATTTGGGTAGCACATGTACTGTTACATTGTCATGAAACTGGATTCTATTAGGGACAGTAATATCTCAAGAGATTAATTGTCTACGTTGTTCTGGAGGCTCACTGAGCACTTCTGTGACCCAGCGACTCTTGTGACTGCCCTGGAGCCGTGCAGGCTGCCCGCAAAAGGAACTAGGAGAGACTCATGTCTAGCTCCTGCTTTTAATCCAGCTCAGACAAGTCTGTGCTGATAACTGGAAATACACTTATGGGTAAATCCCAGTTCTATGCAATATCCATAATTCCTTTAAAACTGTTTCTTGCTTGGAAAAAGTGTCTAGTCAGAACTGCTCTACCACTTTCAAGTTTGCTTGCATATGCTTTGGGTTTGTTTTTCTCTGACCATTCAGTGGAAGATTGTTCAGGACAAAGGAAGTTCAGAGAGGGACTGATACCACTTCCTATCACTAATAAGTGGGAGTTGGCAACCCAGTACTTTTAGAAATTTCCCTTTCTGAGCATACAGACAAACCTTAGAGATGCTGGGAATCAAAGCCTTCACATTCAAAACATGCATAACAGGTTTGACAAAGTAAAGATCTTACATGGAAAGTGAAGTTGATGTTCTCCTTCATGCAAGTAACTGGTGAATCTTTCTCATTTGTTCCATAAATAAATGAAGCTGGTGTAACAAATCTGAGGCAGAATTGTTAATAGAAAGAATATATATCATTAGTATTCTGGTCTATCTCCAGTAAGATTGATCCTAGGGCTTAAATTTGCATTTAAGTAAATGCAGGAACATCAAGTTCTCTACCTTTGTATTGTTTCCTCTTAAAAGAATCAGAAAAGTCAGGAACTCTCCTATCAAAAAACTATGCTCCATAAGTGCCCCATAACAAACCAGAATACTGTTCATATTGTGCAAGGAATCTGAGTGACAAGGGAATACAACGCCGTGGTCCCATTTTACACTGAAGAGGCTTCTATGGAGCAAAGTGAGTCCTATGATGAGGAATGGCCACTCATCTCTTCTACCTCCAGCTGAGGTGTTATTTTCAGTTGGAATTTCAGTCCTGTCCATCTCCAGCTTTATTTTTCAAGATTTATTTGCATTTTCAAGACCTTGATTGTTCAAGATGATTTTAAGAAAGCAAACCATCATCAGAAAGTTGCTATAAGAATCTGACATAGCTATAGGTTTGTTCTTGAAACGTTTAATTGGACAGTCAAATAAAATACAGCTGCAAAACTCACTGTGCTAGAATTAATAACTGATGCCATCTGTTACTGGAAAAACTGATAAAATATCTATTTTGGTTCTTAGATTAGCATTAATTTATCACATTCAGTAGGTAAGACCTTCATTGTGCATGTTTTCAAAATTCAAATATTCAGTCATAATTTTGTGTGTGCTATTAAGTCCTCCTTAGTTCTCCTTAAATCACTTGGGCTTCTCAATAAAAAAAATCATACAGCAGATTCTAGAATAGCTGTGCCATCTCATTCTCAGGATTTTCAATTATCTGAAAAATTTCCAAATGTTTTACACAGAAATGCAAGATGAACAAGACAACAGTTCTATGAATGTGCCTGTATAGCAAGAGCTGACTTACCCATGAGCATTTAACTCAACCTCGTATTTCAGAGGTACAACTAAAGTTACAGTATTATCCAACAATGTGTTCACATCTTCGTTTTCACTATAAAAGAGAAAAACGAGTTTAGAATGCACTGTCACATGCTATACGCATTTGCAGATATTGCAAATATGTTTATATAAACAAATATTAAACGTATATCTTCCAGATTATTAAAACAAAAACATTTCGTAAGTACCTATTAGGTATTAAAAATGAACATTGTATAGGGGCAGAAATCCGCTCATTGTTTAAATAGCTACTGTATTTTATTTTGTAATTTCTCTCTAGATTTTGCAGTAGATATTCTTTCTTGCAGCTGTGCTTTACTAAGTTTTTTCAGTGTTCCCTGTTCTGTTCTTCAAAGCTAAGAGAATTTTTCATTGAAAAGAGCGATTTTTAATCACACATTACCAGGTAGCATTAATGATGAGGTTCAGGTCGTCATCTGCTCTAGTAAATGAACTTGCATCCAAGAGGAAACTAAAATCCAGCTGTAGAACAAATGAAATTTTCTTTATATCAAATGATACTATATCTTAACAGTCTAAATAAAAATGTTCTGTTAAGATCATTTATAATTTCTTAGGTTCTGAAGTCTTTTAGAAGAAGACTTTTGCTATCTTTCTACTTGTCTAGAAAGCCACGTGCAATCAACTGATACAATGTAGTTCATTAATGAAATATTCCAGAGAATGTTTAAGCAACTAACTTTAAAAGGAGTAGAGACATTCGGATATTAGCATGATAAATGATGACAGTAGTTGTGAATGAGGGAGAGATTTTGAAAAAGGAGTGTTCCCCCATCCCGGCAAATCTTATTAAAATATTTAGAAAATTTTGAAAGTTTACCTTTGATTTTTGATCTACATATAGGTAGCCAACGCTGCACTCAAGTTTCACTGCATGAGTATCTTTATCTACTACATCACAATGTATCTGCTTTTCTTCCTAAAATAAAGGACAAATTATTAATGATTCATTATTAATGATTCAAAACTATTTTCAGACATTTTAAGATTTTGGTTCAAGACATGACCAATTTATGCTGTCAATTGACAGTCCATTGCTCATAGTGAAGCTCAGATGGATGCATCAGGCCCACTCCAGCTTAAAACCTGTCTGCTGAAGGAAGGGAAAGGTAATTCTACATAAACACCTGTAAGATTTTTTTGTTCTTACCACTTCTAAAACTCTGATGAAATAAAGACCTCTCGGGATTTGAATGTGGAGGACGGTTTCATACGCATCATCTCCAGTGTTGAGCAAAGAAACGTTCAATAACAATGTCTTTGTGTTTCCAACAGTAAGATACGTTTTCTTTTCATTAGGCCTATAAAATAATGATCAGAATGTAAGTGAAAAGCAGCGTGAAGAACAACACAATGTGAAAAACAATTCAGAGCTTATACACAAAAAAAACCCTCTACTGCTCCTTCAGTTAACTTCATTTTGCTCTAATGTCTGAAAACAAACTCAGCTGGAAGTTATGAGGAAAGTATTTTCTTGTTCCTTTAACAAAAGGTACAACAACTGTGTGACAGTACAACAACAAATGACAGTCAAGTCCAGTCCTGTATCTTTTAAACCGTAAGGTTATTAATGTGAGAGCAAGAATGATGTTATCAGAGCAGTCAGGTTCTGCTTTTACAGTTCACTTTACAGACAAGAATAGCAATATGCTAATGCAACACTATTTTGAGATACTATTCAAAATTCAGTTCTTTACAGAGAGGTACCATAAAGCCTGTGGAGCCTGGTTGGAGTATTTAGATGCATCAAAGAATGCTAAGAACATGTATAAGCTACGTCTCAAATGATTTACAGTTCTGATCCAATATATTACATGAACACGGATATGTACTTTATTATAAAGAAATGAGATGGTAATTTAAGTTCTTTCATATTATTGTTATATCTCTCTGATCACAATCCAGACTGAGCTACGACTGCTTCAGGTTCAATGTAATGCTCTGTAATCGTGTTACAAGTAGAGATACCCTGTGAGGGTCTAAAAGTAAACTTCAGCTTGACATTAAAGTTTAATTAAGACTTGCAGAAGGGCTGCCTAGAAATACACATTTATCAGATATTCTGGCTCGAAACCAAGGCATTAGTCACTGAACACCTTTGGGAAAGGATTTGGCACTTAGACAAGTAACAGAAGGTAAAAGCACTGCATAAGCAGACAGGCTCCAAGACAAAAGCAAATTCAAGCAAAATACAATGTTAACATTTCAGTAGCTCGACTTCAGCTTAGTTTAAAATTTAAAAGCATTTTACTACAGTTATCTGTTTACCATTCAGCTTTCTTTTATACATTACCACTGAATTTGTTAACACGACACCATCACAAAAATGCCCTCCAGTTTAACACCGCCTCGAGAAGACAAAAGCACCAGGTAAGCAGCTGTAACTGCCAAGCTTAACCACGGCATCTCTGTGGCAGTCATCCTTCATTAAAATATTCATGATACAGACTAGAAAATTACAGAGCAGGCCAGAATCTAAGCAACTGAAATAAAACATGAAAGTGTATTCATGAAGACTCATAAGTTATGAGCTAAGGCATTACAGACCCTCCTACTTTATTTCAATCTTTTTCCAACTAAAACTGTTTGCTTTGCTGTTCCTGGATAATGAATGCATTCTGTCTAGACAAAATAAATTAATCCTTCACAGCTAAGTAATTTTTAATGGAGGTACTGGAGGCCCAATGTAATACAGCATGATGCTTCACACTTTATTAAGACATTTAGCCTATTTATTTATACTGAAAAGGTGCTATTGTTCTCCAGTACCTAATGCCAAACAGATACGTTGTGACCTCTTTTCTTTTCTTAGAGCTTTGAAGCATTTACAAAAATAGCACTGCTAGTATCACAGATAAAAATGCTGCACATTATTTTCCTGAAAAGCTCAAAATTATTCAAACACAATAATCCTAAAGCCTCATGAAAAGGCAAATTTCTGCAAATGAAAGCTGTATTATACTTACTTTGGAAACAAAACTTTTCCGGAAACTCTTAGGTCGGCAGAACAATTTTCGTGGGAGCAAAGCCTTGCAAAAACAAACTATAAAGGAAAATAACAACAGCATTTCAGTAGACTAGGTAGATTATACTGAGTAGAAGTATTTTCAAAAAAAGAAATCTATGACCTTTTTACCTAATACCTGGAATGTGTTTATAGTCCTTGTTCATAAACACACCTCTCTGAGGCTCTGACCTGCCAGTGTCCGAGCACATTGTGCGCGCGCAGAACAACAGCCCGTGGCCCCGCAGCACACATCCCTGCCTTCTCTCCTCTGGTAAGGAGCAGTGAGAGAGTCTTATTGCACTACCTTTACTACCTCATTTACCTTATGAGGAGCCCAAGGATACCACGGGTTGGCTGTGTCCGTGCCTTTGTTAACAGTGTTGCACAGAGCACAACCATGTCCCTATGTTCAACAAGAGCCTGCCTGTCTCTCTCTCTCAGGCTGTTTGGTTCCTAAAGCAAAATATTGGATAACACCAAAGGGGAAAAAAAGGCCATTTAAAGAAGCTTTCAGACATCTCAAAATTCTGATTGTCAACTATATCTGAATTATGTGAAACTTGCTGTTTGTGAGAAGCCATACTATTTCTGTGACCTCCTGGTCATTAAAAATTCACAGCATCCTGTCTTTGGCTTAAGCTAGAGTGAAAGTCTCTTGTTTGGGGAAGAAGAGAGTCAATTTCCTGTTCATTTAAGGATACAGAATACACCGCCCTCTTCCTTCCCTCCCCTAGACTGCTTTTGAAAACCAACATGGATTCAGTATTCCTGCAACGTTAGTGAAACAGTTCGATACAAACACAGTATTAGGTATTTAACACAGAATTCACTTTAAAATAAAATTTTATTCTGCAAAGTGCCTCATCAAACGTAGCTGAAATAGTTATAAAAAGAAAAAAAACAGATAATGATTTTAAATTATGAATTGCATACCTGTGTGTCCCGAGATGTGCGTATAGATATGTATATAAATTGTAATTTTACATATACATGTGTGTAATATATATATTTACAGATACATGTATATTTTTTATATATATATAGTATTAAATATTCTTAGAAGTTCTCTGCACACAACTGTCATTAGCATAACAAAACTTAGGGGTTCTGCAAACAAAGTAATTTAATGACAATTAAGTATATTATTCTAGTTTATTAAATAAGATCCAGGCACTAGGTGCTGGTCTAGAAAATACAAGATATTACTAAGTGAAATTTCTTTTATCTAAAGACTACTTAAAGAATATTTATTTATTGCATTTGAAAATGTAGCTCATATACTAACCTTGCTTTTAATAACATCTTTTTCTTTTCTCCTTTGAAGAACTGGTTGAAGTGGTGAAAATTCTTCGTTTCTTCTTTTCTGTAGAATATGACGCCCCAGATGATAACTTGCTTCAACATGTATAGGAGTCAAGATATCCCTTACATCTTTCTATGAAAATTGGAAACCTAATGAGTTGATCATATAAGACAAACATGTATGCATATTCTTTATGTTTTAAAGAATATAAAAATCCCTAGAACTAATTTATTTTTCACATATAAAATAATTTCCTAAGACATATTTGCTCCTGTATTTTCCAGCCATTAAAAAAAGAAATTAGAAATGCAGAAAAGTATAATACATTTAATGACAGCATCAGGCATTTCAAAATAAGATCCTTTAATTAAAAGATGTTTAACTAAATAGTGACCTACCTTACTTTAATCAACAGTACTGCTTTATACACCTGTGGAATGCTGTACTGCCCAATTACAAAAATAGGCAAAAAGAAAGAATATTTCTGTATGAAGTCAAAAGGGCTTCTCCCATAAAACCACAAAATCAGTTCACGACTGAATTTTATTTTTCTTTCTTTATATTTCCTATTTCACACTGGGAAGATTAAACTCCTCAGTAAATGACTGTTTTTGACATGAAACCTTGACTGTGTAGGAATGTTGCAATTCAGAGCCCAAATTATCTACTTGTGAAAACTGAACAGCTTGAAGCACTGAGAACTACAATAGGAAACCTGATTAAATTATTCCGTGAGTGTCCCTGAGTCCCTAAGATAGGCAGCCACTGATTGTCCCTCCACATGGCCACTGCTTTAATTCTTATCTACAGGCTTGCTTTGTCCATATCGCATGTTAGCTAATTCATAACAATCTTCCACAAGGTCTTTTCTGCATCTGCTTTATATTACTTTCATTATACTAATTAGCTATTAATTACTGTTTACATCAAAAAAGTAAAATGTACATGGTCTCTTGCAAGAATTGTACTTGACAGACGTTCACACTTACTTAACTTCAGGAACTTCATACAAGTGCAGAAGCCTCAGTGAGGGGAAGGAGTTACATAAGGCTCCAATTAGGAATTTGAAAGAGAATTGAGTTAAACCAGGGAAAAGCTCTAATGGTAGATGATAGGAATGATCTAATGAATCTAATAAGGATGATAAGCCACATCATGTTCTTCCTCCTACACAAATACTTGCTGATGCTGGCAAAGCAATCTGTGCAAGGTTGGCTGGCAATGAGCTCGCTCTCAGCAAACAAAACTCTTGTAAGAAGGGGGCGATTTGCCAGCGCTCCTTTAAGTAGCACATTCAGTTAGGGGCAGCTACCAGCTGAGATGCAACTGGGCAACTTTCCAGGAGAGTAGAGGCTTTCCTTTCCACCCTGCAGCTTTATCTTGAAGAACTACTTCTTCATGTTGTCATAAACAAAATAAGTAAAAGGAAGGAAGAAGAAAAATACATGGAGGAGGTGGTGATTTTTCTGTGCAGGTTTTATAATTCTAGAATATTAAGCCTGCTTTCCAGGCTCTGTGCGGGATCTGCTGCAGCAGTAACCAGTTTCAGAAGAAGTAGTTTCTGCTACCTTCAAGATTTTGAAGAAAAGGCTACACAAGCTAGATCGTTCTTTTCTAACCCTTTCCCCCACCTCCATCTAAATATTTCCTTTCCATAGTATTTTCTTAAAGAATTCTTTTTCCCTTTGATATCTCTTACAGGAGAAAAGTATATTATTTCTGAGTTTATATACAGTTGATATAAAGTTTATATACGGTTATATTTTTATACAGTCTGAGATATAATACAGTTCTGTGTCCCTTGTTTTTATTGTTCCACAGTGTGTTAGGACTTAAAGTTCTTCCCATTTATTCCTCCAGTGTTTTTGCTGGAGCAGGCAGGCATCTACAATGGTTGGCAGATGGATTCATTTTATTTTTCTCTTGTCCAGCCAATGGCCTCCTGGATGTTCTAAGCCTCAATCAGATTGTAGTCATTTTTAGATATGCATTTGTGCAGTCTTCGCTTTTAAGAGGAGTGCACATCACTTGTTGGCACAGTGCACATTATTTATCAAAATTGTTCAGCTCTAAACTCATTCATGAAACTCTTCCATGGGCTACTCTTCCTCTCATTTTCCATGACTGATTTGCTAACCAAGTATCTCCCCAAGATGAGGGCTGCCTTTCTTGCAGGGAGGAACTGAGGAATTCCCAGCAGGTTGCACATGTCCATGCCCTGCGAGTGGGTCCTGCGCTCCTTGCAGGAAGTCCACAAAACAGACCACACCATAAACCTCAACCTGCAGACACCCTCCTAGCAATCAATTCATTTTGCCTCCTGTGGATCAGGAATTGGTTCCTCTCTGATCAGGTGAGTCTGCCTCTTCCACTCACAGTAAGAAGGGGAGCAACACCTTAGATACGTTCTCTGAAATGGTTAGAAGTTACATAGTAAATACTCTCTGTGTAATTACTAAAGTGTTTGATTTAAGGAACAAGGTAGATATTAAAGTTCTGTCATAAATATTCAGTAGTAAACACATGCTGTATCATGTATTCTCAGTTGATGGAAGAATGGGCTCGATCTATGGTCTGCTTTCTTATAAAACGAGGTGAAAAAAAAGGCCAGAAACATTAATGTCCTTCATCACTGTGATGATTATTATACATATCCTTTTTGTCATAAGAGATGACAAGCCCATTGACTTTTCCATAAAAGCTGAAAAAGCACCAGAACTAAAACTATTAATTGTAGTTATCAACAGAAATACTGTACTTTTCTAATTATGTAATGGAGATGTAAATTAAATACAAATTATTTTGCAGCAGATGTGCTTATAAAGGACAGCAAATGATTTACAGTAAAATACATATTGAAGATTACATTACCCTCATAAATGCTGGATGATCATTGCAAGCAATTTTCTTGCTATAAATCTTTATATTTCCAGAGATTGTATCAGACGTTCCATTGGAAGAAAAATAAAATCTTGCTTGTGTATCCACTTTTCTGTTCACATCCACACTCAGATTATAAAACAAAACTGAAAAATTAAAATCAGGGGAAATAAAAGTCATAAAAACTTTTAGGCACAATAATTTTCATGAATTTATGACAGAAATTATATCTTCTGACTCATAGTCTCTTGAAATTGTTCCATAATATCAACCTCAAAATGCTCCATTTACAAATTCCCTGAGACAAGTCCACCCCTAATGAAAGCTTCTAGCCCTCTGAAAACTGTGTACTGTTGATCCCAGATGCTTGCTGCAAATGCAACTTGTTTTAGCAAGTTATAGTTATAGACAAACTGTTTAAAGAAAATCTGCTTCAGTAACTTATAGGGCTGACTTTGCCCCAGGCTTTTAATTTTTCATTTTATTTTTTTTTTTACTGAGCCCAGAGTAGTACTATTAGGAATATTAAATGTCAGTATGATTATTTTGTAACTAGGTTCATTTCTTATTCAAATGAATACATTAATTGGATTTTTTTCCCAAGCAGCTTACCTATGTAGCCAGGTACTTCTCGCCCTGTGTATGTAAAGCACAGCTTTAAATCCATACAGGTGGCAGGCTGGTCATTTTCCATGCAGTTTAAGTTAGTTCGATTTATTGAATCGGGGTGTTTTAGAGAAGCTTCAACAATTATCACTGGTTTTGTTCTAACAATGTAGAAAAGTTAACATTCAGAAAATGCTTCAGAATCAACTTATGGAATCTATAATCTAAGATGATAATTTTAAAGATATTTTCTTAATTTTTGCATTCTTAAACATAAAAATACCATGTGAAAGAAAATTGACTTAAAGAGCTTAAGAATGGTATTTTGTATTTCTCTACAATGTTGAGTTGCACATGCTAGTTGAAAAGCATTCTAGAGTTTAACAAGAGAAGTTCAAAACAGCAGAGAGAGCTGCATGAGGCCAAAACATGCTACTAGATTTTTAAATACATCTAAAAATTTGCAATTACACTGCACGATCTTTAAGCATGGAAATGCAACAACCTCACCTCAGCAGCACAGCAGAATTGGAGAGAAATGCACCAACTGCTACATCTGAATAAACAAACAAATGAAAAAGATAGATAAGCATCTTCACTCAACAGAAATTACTTCTCAGATACAAGCATTTTGTAGTATGCTCATTTTTGGACAGCATCAAAATATTGTTTGCCCATTATTTAAAGTTTATGTTAATATACAAATAAGTACCTCTTTGCATAGAAAATTATTCCTCAAACCACTGCTCCCTGTCCCTTAAAGCTACATACTAATTTGTCGGGAATTATAGATATTGGTAACATAATGATGTGATTTCCATGCCAAGGTTGACAAGGGAGTACAATTCAGCTAAATAACAGGTCCTGCCTCCTTTGTAACTCAAATATTTAGTTTTTCTGTATGTATACATACATAGATAGTAAATTTGTTCATATATATGTGTGTGTATATATATATACACGCACATAAAAATATAAATAGATAGAAAAAGTATATATTTATTATTTTATTCCACATTAACTGAAAACTGTTCATATGATACGGGAAGAAATATGCACAGTACAATTTCTCGTGGCAGGGAGCAAGAGCATACTTTCCAGATGAGACTAAAAGATGACAGCAGAGCTTCCCAGAAAGCAACTGCAGATGAGCTGAAAGCCCAAGGTGCCTGTTCGCCTCCTGTTAACACAGCATAACCCACTCACATTTCTGCAGAAAAACTCAGAGCAGAGTTTCTGCCAACTTTATGCTTTTATAACTACAGTGGCAGGACGGAGAGCACCTGAATCTGACACAGCACCAATCTATATAATGTCAAAATATTTTGACAATGTGCTTGAAACAATGAGCATATATTTGAAACCAGCCAAGTTATTTTAGCCCATATTAGCACTTCCATGTCACACCCACAAGAATTCCACAACATTCTTAATCCGGTGCTCTAAACCTTGAGGACAGATTAATTTTTTGTTGATGCACAGCCCGAGAGTCATTGAGCTAAACGAGTTGTGACAAGATCCAGACTTCATAAAGAAATAAAAGATTTTCTGGTCATTACACTAACCTGAACAGCAGACGTACTTGTGGTGACCAATCTAGCTTGCTGTCACATTAGCAGATAAAGTGCTTGCCATAAAACTAAAAATAAGCTTTTTCTTCTTCCTCTGCACTATGAAGATTACATTTTTCTGAGCTCTTCAACAGTAGTGAGATGACCGTAAAAACTGACTGCTTGCCCTCAGCCTTACCCCATCATTTTTTTCTTCCCTGAATGCAAGATGTGAGATGTCACCTTAATAACAAATTTTGCTCTTGGAAGGAGTAGCAAGTAGCATGGTTGGGTTGTTTCCTGTTCATTTCTACTGTCATATAAACAAAAATAAACAAAATGGTTTAATTCACCTTGATAGCCATTGTTATCTGCATCAACGCCACTTGCTATGGATTGTCCAAACATGCTCAAACCATTACTGACATGATGTCCTTGTATTCTCTGAAGAAGAGGGGAAAAAGGAAAGAAGATTATTTTTGGAAAGCTAATCTTTCAGTTATACTAGCACAACTGTCCTGCCTCTGAAGGCAGGTACCTGCCCATGAATGTTTGCCTCTGAAAGCAATATTCCACCATTGCTGCAAATATAAAAATATAAATATACACCCCATAAATCTCATCTGAAGCCTCTTGAACATTTTTTTATGTTATCAGTTATCTATTATGACTAGAAATCACAGACTCCGCACAAATATTCTGAAAATCAATTGTTTTAAAGTAATTGAGCTGCTCTGAAAGTTAAATTACACAAAATATTCTCAGATTTAAACTTAAGGCTTTTCTGGATATTTTTTTAATAATAGAAAAAGCCTACCTGTGAAAATGATGGAGTTATTCCATCGTCCCTGCCGTTGTATATATAAATAACTCCTTCTAGATCATCTTCCTGTGGAGCCCCTATTGCTACATCTGTAGGAAAACAGTTTAATGAGAGAAACTAATGATTTTGAAGTCTTCATGTTGCATGTTTATTACATATTATTTGTAGAATGCCTACAGGTTTTTATAACCTTTTCAGCAAGAGAAAAGGGCAGACTGTACCAGCCGTATAACGAACGCAGATGCGTTTACAGCAAACACACGTGTGCGCCACTTGAAAGCAGAGGTCTGACACGGTAACCTGAGAAGGGGATGCTGTGCAGCTGGGTAATCTGCATACAGCTCATTTTGACCACAGTTGTTTTTCTAACAGTTTTAGTGGGACGGCTTGTTTTGCCCCTTGGAGGAAGCGGAAGAGCTTCTGCAACTTTGCAGTTTGGAGAAGGAACTCAGGATATGAGGAAAACGGCTGTGTAGTTTCTGTTCTCTCTGAGCCTTGTGCTGCAGGCGGAGCTGAGGTGGCTCTCAGACATGCCAAGGACAGTCCACACCAGGCTTGCCCAGCACCTCTGTGAGCCTGGCAGTGGCTGAATTCACAACGTGCATCTTGCTTTCACGTGAGCTTCTCAGGCACCATCCATCAGCTCTGCTTCTGAAAGATCTGATCTGGAGTAAGTAGGTGTCTAGCCTATCCACAAAAATGACTGAGCTGCAATCAACCCCATCATTTTTTGTATTTCTGCTACATCTTATTGCCTGACCTGACACCAAAACCTCTTCATACAAGGTTGTCTTCAGGCTTTAATGGGTTGAATATTGCTTGTACCCAACTCGCGTACAAAGAAAAGTTAAAGAAAGCCAAATCATGATCCATGTAGTACCTGACCAAATTGATATGACTGAATTCAAAAACAAGTGCTAAAGATTAAGGCAAACAGACCAGTACCACGTGCTCTAGGTGTCCCTGCTTGAGCAGAGGGGTTGGACTAGATGATCTCTAAAGGTCCGTTCCGACCCCAACCATTCTCTGATTCTGTGTAGTACGGACCAGGACAGTCATATGACTGTGCCTGAAACAGTGTGCCTGGAAAACAGGGCCAGCCACAGGCATTAACCTTTTTCAAACAAAAATCTGTTTCCCAACAATACTGTATATGGCCCCTCAGAGATTATCATGCAGAGCGGCCAAAATGACCATGGCATTAAAAAAAAAAAAGAAAGAAAAAAAAAAAAGAAAAAAAAGAAAAAAAAACCTTTACCTTTCTGAAACTATGATTATTTTCCTTCACTCTGCTATTCCTATATGGCTTAAATTAGTCTTTTACACTGACCAAAATGAACCATATATTTTCCCCTGAAATGTTCAGCTAATAACAGCTTGAACGGGCATTCAGCAAGGCAATGAAGGTAGCTGGTTTAAACAAAGGAATATGTTTTATGCAGAGATGATTTAATCCCAAATGAGTGTGCCAATACATAAACAAACAAACCCTTAGCAGCCCTTACCAAAACATTACCAAAAAAAAGAAAAAAAGGTTCAAATAGCCAGAGGACACTTAGCAAAAGAGGGAGGAGGAAGGAAAGGGAGAGTGAATTACAGTATCTTAAAATTCACCAGTATAAATTAGTAAATGCAAAATTTCATTCACAAACGAGACAAAACTGAATGATTTGCAAATACAGAAAATCCAGTGTGCAGCACCAAATCAAAAACAGTGCAGCAGAGCTCTGATGACTTGCTTTAGCTGAATGGCTCTCTGATTGAATCCATACTGACTGAGCCCATATTCAGTGACTAAAACACACAAAGTATGTTATGTCTCTCTGCTGGTGAGATGAAAATAGGACAGCCAAGTTATGCTGTCTAATTAAAGCAAAACATATGTTTGGGGGGTGGGGTTGGCGTCCACATGAACACACATGCTATTATCTTCACAGGGCTGATACGGAAGGTTTGTATCACTGAACGAGTTGGCTCTGCTGTGCTTTTTTTATTATTACTTACTATAGACAAATGGCCCCTATCATCCAATTTCTCTTTATATTTTGCTTCCAGCTCTTCTTACAAGAAAATCTTTTTTCCTCCTGTCACTAAATATCTCCTCCTTTTCTTCAGCTCCCTACAACAGCTTACTATGCCTTCCCCTACAGTTTTACGATGCCCACTCTATGTTATATTGTATCATATGCCTATTTTGCTATGGTGCTATTAATTTGCTTTTACTTCTCCGTTCCTCAACCCTATATTTAGATATTGTTTTCCTCTGCAGTCTGCAAATGTTTTGGGGCAAAACCGGAAGGTTGTACGTAAAATGCTTAGAACGTTTTGGCTCAAAAATGAGCTCCTGAATCTTGGAAGAGCAGAAAGCTCCTGCTGTATTTCTATCCTCTCTCTACACAGTCTGTCAGGACAGCCTCTCTGCTGAAGGGAAGTGCATGCAAACTGCTCAGACACTGACCATTCCTCTCTGTCTGAAAACATGACAAGATGAACACAAGCACTGGGGTACAGGTTCCCCTCTGTCTAGCTGAAGGTCCCCAAGTCAACCACATACTTGCAAGCTATCCATACAGCCATGGGCTCAAGAAAAGAAGAAGCTGGCAGCAGTGGATCATGGAGAATTCTGCAGTAGTTACATTTAGAAAGCACGAATGTAAGTAGAAAGCAAAAATTAAAATGAAGGTTTTGTTTTGTTTTGATACTTACCTTCATAACCATCATTATCAATGTCTCCTAGATTGGCTATGGACTCTCCAAACCTGGCTGCATATGAGTCACTCCCACTGAGCTCTATATCTAGTTCTGCCAGTTTTGCCTCCTGAAGGAAAACAAAATCAATGAAAAGTACATTAACAAAGCATGTTCCAGATGACTGGGGTGATTACTCCAAATGTTAAAGGGTTTTTGGATGATAAAAGTCTTCCTTGCTGCACAAGACAGGATTATCAAAGATACTCAGCAATATTTAGCACAGTTTATATTCAGAATGGAGTTGTTCTTTAAGAAACACAGCAGTGACATGTGGCCACAGTAAACCCCTCTAAGCAGCAGCAAGCTTCCATCAGAGTGCAGGTGCTTACAGCACAGTACTGTGTGAACATGTATTGCAGGTAGTCCTACAGTGGCTTAATTCTCTGTGCATTCATAGTAAGAAAATGTTAATGCTAAAATAAAGAATGTGCATCAGTGTGTGGAGGCGGGATGGAAAATGGATATGGAGATAAAATTAACAACACCGGATAAATTCAAAAGCTGACCAAAAACAGAGTGATTATATTTTCATTTCTGATACCTAAAAAGAATAAAAGGAAAATGGTTCTAATAGATGGTCCAGCTTCTTTTATTTGCCTAAGTGGAGAATTTTAACAGATCTACCACTGTTCGTCTTTGCTTCTCCTCCTAATTGCACACAAATATCTCATTCCTTCTTTGCTGTGGAAGTGCTAAGTAAGTTGATCTTAACATGCCAGTTCAGGAGTGAGCGTGGTAATGGGAAGGGACTTGATGTAGGAAGGAGCAGCAGGCTCTAACTCAGAAGTTACTGTGAAACACAAGCAGCCTGCCTTCGGTTTCAACACTAGCGTAAATAGCGTGCTGAAGCTCACACAGCTCACATCTGACATGTACATATGCTCCAGAGTCCTGCTGCTGTTTTTCCACACATTCTGCTCTTGCTGGAAAGTCAGCTTGTTTTACAGATAACACTTGGCACTACCTACCAGTGGATATGGGATTCTCAAACTGATACTGAAGTTGTTTTGCTTGCACCTTACAATACGAGATAGGAAATCTCATTGGGTTGTTACACTGGAATGAATATTACATATTCTTAAGAGAAGATACTTACAGAACCTGAATTGATGTAAACGTAAACTCTTCCTTCTTCTCTAATGGTACTTTGCATCGGAGCACCCACTAGCAAGTCTGAGAGGCCATCTGAATTCAGGTCCACAGCACAAACCGCAGCTCCAAAGTAAGAACCGAGCTGCGTGCAAACAGGAATCCTGTTATCCTCAATTTTTTATGAAGGCAGGGTGGACGCTCTAAGGTGTGGAATAATTGCATTAAACCTTTACCTTTTTACCCTTTAGTTCAAATAGGATATTTAGTTGCTTCTCAATGTTAAATATGTATGCCTAAAACAAAAAGCAAATAGAAGTAATGTTCAGTGAGCAGTAATCTGAAATCCTATTTTGTGCTTTTTCTATAATGGGGGCTAGAGAATGATCCAGGGAACACACAATATCCCAGGATAAGGTTATTCTCTATTTCCTATCTGTATTTTTCATTAATACCATAGTTCACAGCAGCTATTCAGATTATTTTTCCATCATTCCATCTTTGCCCTTTTTCCCCGCCGTGAGAAATTGCATTATCCAACTCTTGTCTTTATTACATTAACCTAAACTGGAACCCCCCCAGGGAGAGGGGCAGGAGGAAATCCTCTTCAGACAAACAGCATGAAGAATCTCTTACTTTACCAGTCTGCTCCTGTTGAGGAGCTCCTCCTATGACTTCTATACTGGTTGACGTCAAAAAATGCCCAGCTCCAACAGAGTATCCTGTAAATTAGAAATGCACTACTCAACACTTTTAATAGCACATAAAGAAGAAAACAGAATATAATACATAAAAGCTGTCAACACTACTGTGAGTTTGACATACAGACCACAAACAAGCTACCAATGTAAAAACTGCTTCTTGAAATATAAGCCAAAGGTCAATAAAAACAGAAAGTTCAAGCAACTTCAGAGCTACTGTGGGTCAGAAACACTCAAGGTTTTATCTTCCCAAGGTCTTAATTATCTGTCATATTTTAAAGGTCATTTTAAAAAAATGCAAATATCTTCTGTAAATGCGTGTTCTCTAACTGTTCTGTGGCTTCATATTGCAATACAAAGTATCAGCTGTTCTTGTGCTCTTGTTTTAACTGGACTGCAGAAAAATGACATGTAGCACTGCCTAGATGTGTGTGCGTACATATATATTGTTTATATTGCTTTATATGCACATATGTAAATACTGTATACTGTAAATACTGGAGTTGAAGTCTGCTTGGGCAATAAGAAAATGTTTCACCAGTTTTTGGAAATAATCTACACAACAAAGTGTCTGTAGCTGTGGAAACAGCTCTTGACGAACAGGACGCGTGCTGATGCAAAGCCCAACCACAGAATTGCACCCGCAGGGCTGAGGCCTAAAGCTCCAGCTGCGTGAGTCACCCTCACTTCTCCTGAAGGCCATTATGGCCAAGTTGAGGCAGGGACAACAGTAAACATATTTTGTTACTCTTGCATTTACGAAATTTCTGACAATATTCAGAGCATTTAGAGAAAACAGAAAAAGTCACTTTGAGAAAACCAGCCTTCTATCTTTCATTTGTAAAGAAAACTGCCTGGCATTAAAGTTCTCATTATGCCAGCATTTTATTGTCATTTTTAAGCTAACAAAGGTGAACGTGACAATTTATCATTTAAAGGTCAACACCCAGTTTTTACTTATGCAGCAAAACATTAAGGTTAAGTGAATAAACCTTCATTTACCTCTTCTGACCTTTACATGCTAGATATTTTGGTTTTGCTGAAGTATAAATATTAATGTTTCTAATGAACTTGATTAAAAAAAGAAACAAGAAAAAAAGAAAACTATTGTAGCTATAGAGTCTATGCTTTTAGTGTGGTATAAAAAGGTAAGTTTGGCTGACTCAAATTACACCAACTTTTCTTTTTCTCCTGTTATATTGACTTTCCATCTTTCTGAAACATTAGCCTTTCTCGGGTTCCTAAAAAAAAAACCTATTATTTTGTAATTTCTTTAAGATGGATATTTAAGGACCTATGGTTACTCTTTCAACAGGCCCAGGTGATCTGAAAGATTGACTTATTTATCTAATCCCTTTAAAGATGACTGCTATTAATTTCCAAGGAATTCATATTCTGGAGAAGTCAAGGAAATCTACCAAACAGTATGTATTCCTAGATTTTCTTTCTAAATCTGTTTTCTGCTTTTATGCATCTCAAACACCTTCATTTCTTACAACTTAAAATGTTATGATTTTTTTGTATGCTTTTCCTCTAAATTGTACTCTAAATTGTTATGTATTACCCTGGTCTAAAAAAATTTAAATAAAGAAGCCAACTCTGCCAGAAGAAATGAATAGGAGAAGTATATAATTATATGCAGTCATGTGCCTCGAATTACAGTCTGCTCACAGTGTATTTTTAATATTTGTTAATGATATTTTTGTTCATCATTGAAGGTATAAACAAACTCATCTGTAAAAAAATCTCTGATAACAGAATGAGCCATGAACAGATTTCAGGCCAAGATTGGTGCAAAAGATGGGAGAGAAGAGAAGCTGCGGAAGGGTAAGGGAAGATACCTTCACTTTCTTCCAACTACAGTATTACATGAGGAGACCAGAGAGAGGTTTAAGCAGTACATAACAAAAGGGAAGCTCAAGGCTCATCTCCTGTCGTAGTGCACGAAGAGGAGCGAGTTACCCCCTTCTCCCTGCCTTTCCTCTGGAAAGGACAGCACTGCGAGGGAGGCTCTCCTGCCGCCAGCACTCCAGCTGCTAGGGCTGCACTTGCACCCTGCACAACTGCTCACAGAACACACTCCAGTATATCCAAGTTTCTGGAGAGGCAAGAGAACCAGGAGAGACTTTATGCATGAAGAAGTCCCTTCACTGCACCCCTCCTATCAATGTTCTTACAGGGATTTTACCATTTGCCTGTACCTGACTTTCAGCTGTCAATGACTTGCCTCACTCATTACAGAAATTCCCACTCTTGCGCTCGATGGAGCATAGGAACAGAAATCCAGGATGGGCCTTTTCTGGGCAGGTACAATGCTTAGCTGCCTAACTGTTGTTGGAAAGCTGCAGCGAGGTTTTACACCGCTCTCCAAATTTTCCTTCAACCCATGAAAGGTTACATACATTGTTGATTAAGCATATTGATGTGGTATCTGATCTTTTTTTTTTTTTAACATATGGCATCTCTTCTGCATAACTTCCCCTCAAATCCAGACTGCAACCTTTCAAAGCAGTGAATTCTGAAGTGTCATCCATTTCACATTGCATAATAGTTATTTCATAACTTATGTCTCCTTCCTATCGTCAGCAGAGGGAAATCACAAACCAGAACTGTTTATCCACATGCACTGAATCTATGGGTGGATTAATTATGACAGCTTTCCCTGCTTCTCAAGAAGTTTCAGGTTATGAGATGCATCTAGAAAGAAAATGTACATTTTCCTGTACAAACCGAATGGATCTTGGACACCCGAGCTAAAAAAAAAAAAAAAATCAAAATAAAACAAACCTACAAATTCTCATGCTAAATGCAGATAACTGCTTGGATGTTGGTACAATGGCAAGCATTGTGTGGCTTTCAGCACACACATACGTGGACAAGGTTTGCATTCTCATGCATCCAGAAACAAGATACGGGTGCAGTTGGAATATATTAAAAAGACTGGAGTCAACTCTGTGTCTTAAGACCATAGCATACCTTGCCTTATGGACACTGCAACTGAGATTAATGAAATTGAAATTTAATTTGAAAATAAATTTATTTAAATACCTAAATAACTGCCAAATTTCACTTGGTTATTTGAATCCGCATAAGCGTGGATTGTATTTGCAGTTGTATTGTATACAAAAACAGAACCAGTCCAATAAAATGATCCCGGTGCTCCCATTATAATCAAATCCTAAAAGAAAAATAAAACAAAGTTTAAATATTCATGCAGATAGGCAAGCAAGTCAACTGCTTTTCTTCAGGTCTACTCAGTATTGGAGGATATATGGACTCAGTATTGAGGAGATACCACAAGATCACAGACAATATTTTTCAGACTTTCCAGGCATATGGCTACTAAAGCTTTGAACTGCCAATCACGTCACTTAAAATAAAGCAACAAACAAGGTAACATCTTCTCAAAGCAATGTTTTAAAAATCATAGTCTTATGGTGGAATGTTGATTAAACAAACAAGAAGGAAACCAAGGAAAGCCTTATTTGTATTAATGTTGCATTAAATAGATTACTCTAAAGAGCATAATAAAACTTTATACTGGTTACAGTCCTGCTCTTTTTCTTCACAAAAAGCAATTTTTGATTTGGACTTCTATGCTAAAGTATCCCTGGTTAGCTGTGAATTGCCATGCAAGTCTTATTAAGATTCAACTGAACAGAAATTGAGTAAGTCTGATTTTTCCTTCCATTGAAAAATACAGAACATGCATATGTATATACATATACAGATGGGGAGGTAAGTTTGGTATCTTTTATACATACCTCAATGTAAAAACTAGACATTCCAGCCTGGCATGACCCATGGTTTTCTCCAAACTTTCGCACGTGATCTGGATATTGGCAAGAAGTATTAAAAAGAATGAGAAGCATGTAATTTCAGACTTTTTAGTAGATTTCCAATAGGAAAAAAGTAAACAAGAGAGGCACAAAATTGTCTTTCAGTTCAATAGTAAAGCTGAAAACAGTTTTCCCCTGTATAGGCCTTAGCTGCAAAAACAGTAGTATAATAAATTCAAAGCAATATATACACCACTTGATCACAGCTACCTTTGAACAGTCTTGTGCTTTTGAAAGTTACTTTTCTCTTTAGTTTATTCCATGAAAGACATATACCAAGTGAAATAGTATACATAGTTGGAGCAGCACAGATGGGTAGGTTTAACTCTTTTGTTTGCACACTGGGTACAATTCAGACATACTGTGTTTGACAAGCACACTTATCTTCATAGGAATTGTGCCGATGTCCATTCAAGCTTGGAAGTGTTTGCATTATGGATATCTTAAAAGCATTGGTATCTACCATCCTTAGGAATTTTCTCTATATTCCACTCTTCCAACTTTGTTTTCCTGCTTTTCCTTGCTAACTGATAACAAGGGGCAGGCTCGCTAGGTAGTTCTTTTACATAAGAGCAAGGTACCGAAGGAAAAGCCAGGGAATCAGCTGGTTTGAGAGCTTCAGAGCTTGATTCTTATTCTGGCACCTGCAACCTTCTGAAGAGAACATGTGCAGAATATCTCATACTGCAGGCACAGGCTCAGCAGGAGACAAGTTCAGAGCAGGGCCACGTGAGCAGAATGTGAGGCTGAAGGGGCTGTTTGGAGGAGCCACGCCAGTTTTATGGATAGGCTAAGCAGCAATAACTCATGAAGATGTTACTTGGATTTTACTGTGAGCAGGGTGTCGAGTAGAACAAGCAGATGTCAAAGCAAAGGACTGAAGGAATGATGCTCCTGTACTGGCCTATTTTTGAGGAGTATACATTCTTCAGGGTCCCATCCAATGAGGAAGTGCTTTGATGCCTTACTTAAGCTATTCTTTTTTGCCTGCTGAAAGCAATTTCAAAGTGATAAGCATCTTGCTAACAGATTTATAATATAGGCCTTATATGAGTCTTCGAGCCTTTGGCTGCAGAAAGCCTGCCTAGAACAAAACAGATTCTTCACACTCTCCACATCATTTGATTTTACATCTTATTCTTTCCTAGAAACGACTCAAGCATTCTGCTTACCTATGTAACATGGACATATTCTTCTACTCAGTTCAGTTCGAAAATCAGAAGAGATGGCAAAACAAATACCGTAAGGTAGTTTGTGTTCATTTTTTATGTAAAAGATATTTTTCCATCTATGTCCACAAGCCTATGAATAAAAAACAAATATGTTTGACACAGAAGCAAAAGAATGGTGAAGGCAGTCTGACAAGCAGACCCACAGTCCCCAAGGTTATACATACCAGGATAGATCCGTTTTCTTTTGGCTGCCTTGATAAGCTGACACCCAACCACTGGTTATCGCGCTCTTCCAAACAGGTCTTTCCACAGCGCTCTCCACTGGGGTTGCCTGCGACACAAAGACCAAGACTGAACAGATGTACAGACCGAAACAACGCATGGCCCAAGACTCAAACCTCAGAGAGTTCTGCTGAAAGACCTCAAAAAGCAACTTTGTTGGACCTTATGCCTGTGTATTTTATGCAAACTTTTCCACACGAATGTTTCACATTCCTCTTGAACAAAGGTAAGGGTGTGTGTGGTTAAAGAGAACGTGCTGTTTCTGAACATGACTGATTTGGCAGTCAGTATCTGTTTCTCTGTCACTATTAATCAGATTAAGCATGAATATAAAGATTTATATAGGAGGGGGCTTATGCTGCAAGTCTGAATTCCCTAACCTGGATTGTGACCTTCATGTCTAAGGTATCACTTTATGAGTGGTTTTATCCTAAAAATTCCTAAGAAACACAAGTAGCATCTCTGGTACACAAACTGTGGATGCAGGTCCTGTATCCTTCCTGCACTTCCGTTTATGTAGAAGTGCCTCTTTATTTATTTATTTTCTTTTTAAGAAATGTTAATTGTTAAAACCTTAGGGAACAGAGTGAACTTCCTTTGAACTCCC